GTGTTTGTCCCAGCAGCAGGGGCGCTGAGACACACGCTAGGGACATCATGTTTGTGATCTAACCCAAAATCTCCAGCTGCTTGCCAGAAAACTGCCTGGCTTTCCCACTTTTACTGAGTCTTAAAAAAGAAAATAGTCTGGTATCCAATAAAGAACTCTCCACTTAAACATGTAAAGCCAGGGAAGTTACAACACAGCATCTAAAGAGCTAAAAGTGCCCCAGGCAGTCAGGTTTCATAGTTCTGGAAAAGAGACGCTTCATTTTCAGCCTGTTGTGTTTTATTTCAGGGACTGGAATAGCTAATTGGACTCTTTTGAACATTCTTTTTGAATTGTAGAGTTTCCAGTTCTACAGGCATAATAATGGTTCAGGAATTGACCATATCCTTGTTAATATTTTAATGGTAATTAGGATGATAGAAAGGTGCCGGGCATGGTGGTGCACATGTGTAACCATGGCACTTAAGAGGCTGAGGCAGGAGGATTGCCGTGATTTGGAGGTCAGCCTGGGCTATGAAGTCAGCCTGAACTACATAGCAAGAGCCTGCCTCAGACAAAAAAGAAAAAACAGTGATTGCTAAGAATACTTTAATCAAAATTTAGGGTTTTTTTCTGATGTTTCTGAGACAGGTCTCGCTGTGCAGTTCAGGTTGAACATGGGTTCACTTTGTAGCCCAGGCTGCTCTCAAACTTGCACCCACCCTCCTGCCTCAGCCTCCCGAGTCCTGGGATGACAGGCCTGCACCTCCGCCGTCAGCTTCCCGAGCTGACTTTAATGCACATGAATCCCTGCTCGCCTTCGATCCTGTTCTCTTTTTTTCTGTCCCCTGACCCCTGATGTGTTGAGTTCTTCTGGGCGGCTCTTTTGAGATGCAGGATTTGCATTTGACAGTGGCCTCGGCCAGGGTGAGGTCAGTTGACTGTCACTGCCGGGCTGTCACAGTTGTCACAGTTTGAGGCACAATTTCTTACGTAATCAGCGATGCCAAGTGTGTTCGCTGCTTTGCTCAGAGGGCTTTCTCCACTGTCACTAGCAGGAAATTGATTTTGTGGCCCATAACAATCCGCAGGGTGAGCCTTTCAGATCCTGAGTGTCCAGTGCCCAGGCAGCTTTGCACTGAGTTATTTTAATAGGCAGCAACTGATAGAATTGTCAGTTCCACACCAGGCGTGGTGGCGCATGCCTGTAATCCCAGCACCCTGGAGGCTGAGGCAGGAAGATCTCAAGAGAATTTGAGGCCAGCCTTGGCTACCTTGACCACCGTGAACTACACAGCAAGACCCTGCCTTTTTAAAAAAGGGAACTGTCTACTGCAGTCAAAATGGTGATTTTTTTTTTTTTTGAACCTGGGAGTTGAACCCAGGGCCTTCGCACTGAGCTACATTTCCATTTATGTGGTGCAGGGTGTCACTAAATCATGTATTTTCCTAGACTGGCTCAAACTTGCAGTCTTCCTGCCTCAGCCTCCTGGCTGTGATGCTGGGTATAAAGCGCACAAATGTCCTGTCAGGGGGAAGTTGTAACGTAAGGTGATTTTTAGGTCATGGTGATGTACTGTATATATAATTTTAAACGCTGAAAGAAAGGATTTGAGTATTTGCACCCTAAGAAACGTTAGTTACTTAAGAGGATACGAAGGTACACCCTGATTTGAACACGACACAAAGTAGGCATGTAGTGAATCATTGCACCTCCCAGAGTTAGGCGTAACTTGTATGTAGCAGTGACAGAAAACAGAAAAGAGCCCACATGCACGTGTGTTAAGATCCGCAGAGCGATGCACCCCCGCGAGCTCGAAACCGAGTCCCGCAGAACGCAGTGCGGAGGCAGGAGCAGAGCGGGAAGGCCTGTGTGAGGACCAGCCCCTTCCTCGCTTCCTGGACCCGGGAACTGCTCTGCGGACCCACTGAGTCTCTGTGACACGCTGAAATTGGGATGCATTTTTGGTGTGAAATATTAAATTTGAAACTCACATCTACAGCACATGAGAGGCTGAGGCAGGAGGATCACTGTGAGCTCGAGGCCAGCCTGGGCTACATAGGTGAGTTTACATAGTGAGATCTCGTTTCAGAACAAAAAACTAAAAACAGGAAACAAAAGACAGCTCACACCCATGGAATAACTGGATTTCCACATGCTAAAAACCACAGTGTGAGCTCTAATTCACACAATGTACAATGTTATCTTTAATATAAAAACAGACTTCCAGAGGACAACGTAAGAGAAGTCCACTGTGGCTCGGATTAGATATGACACCAAAGACATGTTCCATAAAGGAAAATACAAAGACTGTGCTGTGGTCACAATTAAACCTTTTGTGCTCTGGAATTCATCATTAAGCCTTGCACAGGATAAAAGTGTTTGCAAACCACATATTCAGAGGGCTGGGGATTTAGCTCAGAGGTCTAAGTGCCTGCCTGGCAAGTGGAAGGTCATGAGTTCGATCCCTGGTACCAGAAAGAAAAAAAAAAAAAAACAGAAAAGAAAAATCTGACCAAAAAAAGAAAAAAAAAAAGGCAAAATATTTAAACACTTCACCATATGCAAATGGAAAATGATCAAATAAAAAGATCAGTATCAGCAGTCATCAGGGAAATGAAAATGGAATTCACAGTGCAGTAAACCTATTAAAACAGCTAAAACAAAAATATGCACCATACCAGGTACTGGCAAGAACACAGGGGGAGTCTTTCCCCTTGCTGGTGGGAATGAAAAACTAAAACAGGTTTCTACTTAGGGAAAGAGACAGCAGCTTCTTGGAAGGTTAAATACACAGCTACCCAGCGACCCAGCAGTGCTGCTTCTGGGTGTTTGTCTCTGTCATCACAGGAACCCGTGAGCGAGTGTCCTAACCCGCTGGCAGGAGCCCTGCCATCCTTCAGTGGGTACACGGTTAATAAATGTGGGCCACACCATGGTGCGATGGGACATTTCAGCAACAGGAAGTTACACATTACTGAGACACAGCACCAAGCACGAGCCCCAGTACATTATCAGATGACAGGCACCCAGGGAGTCCCCCTGTGTGTCCATTTCTGGGGCATTCTGGGAAAGGCCAAACCACCAGGACAGATCTGTGGTCAGCAGGTTGCACAGGGTCCACTACACACAGGGGTCCTCTGGGAGGCTGAAATTGTTTCTCCCCCGTGGTTTATTTTTTTATTTTTCAGAAGCAAGCATGGAATGCAGGGCCTTTGAGCTGAGCTACACCCCTAGCTTTTTAAAAAGTGTTCATATTGAGATAGGGTCTCTCTAGGTCGCATATCTCTGCAGGCTGGGCTCAGACTGGCAGTCTTCCTGCCTCAGCCTCCAGGCGTGCTGGATTGCAGGCTGCACAGCACACTGAGCTGTGATGGTGGTGGTAAAGACTGGGTGTGCCAGAGTCTCGAGGAGGAAGCTCCGACATCCTGTGATGCAGGAGGGTGGCTGTGAATCACGGTAACGATGTCCTGTGCGTGTATTTTAAATGCTGAAAGGATTTTGAGCTTTTTCACCAGAGATGTCACACCAGAGATGTCACACCAGTGATGTCATACACTGCCCCAAACCCAGTATCCCCAATTTATGTTTTTATTTACTTTTGATTTTTTGAGACAGGGTCTTGTTCTATAGCCCAGGCTGGCCTAGACCTTGTGGTGATCCTCCTGCCGCAGCCTGCCGAGTGCTGGGGTGACAGGTGTGTCCGCCAGGCCCGGATCCGCTTAATAGTCTGTAGCTTTCTTTTCTTTATGCCTTCTTGATAATAGAATTTATTTTTAAAGCGTTGAAAAACTTTACTCTGGAAGGGGTCTATGGGCCTTGTCAGACATCAGAACAGCAGGGGCTCACACCCTGCCTTCTCGGATGCGGAGAGTCTCAGAGTGGGCCCTGCTCCACCCCTGCACACCCCCACCCCATCACAAACCGTGTCCAGTCTGAGCCCAGGTGGGTAGAGCAGAAGGTTGATGACTGACTGTTAGACCTAGCCCCCAAGCGTTCCCTGTGCCCTCTGGTCCTGCACAGGTCCTTCTGGGGGGTGACCGCCCTGATATGGGCTCCCTCCAGTGCTCACTTCCTAGCAAACCTTAGCTTTGGAGCTGTTGCAAAATCACAGCTGACAGAGCCCCTGTCCCCATCCGGCCCTTCCTGGGTCGCCTCTCAGCCTTCATGGGCTCCTGCAGTAAAAGCTTTTTCCAGCCACAGGGCCCTGGCCCCTTCACCCCCCTTTTCCTGCCCATGCATCGCCACCTCCAGTGGGCCTCCCCGGATTTCTCTTCCTCAATCTCTACCCCGTTCATCCTGTCCCCAGACCGCCTTCGTTCCCTTCCTGACACTCGATCCAGTGATTCCTGCTGCATTTTCTCCACACTGACAGCTCCCCAGGACAGGGGCCAGGTGTTGCTCTGGCCCATAGCACAGCACTGGGCTTCCAGGAGGACCTCGGTCACCGCAGGGTGGGGAGAGATTGCATGAGGACCGTCCTGTTTCCACAAGGGCTCCCGGAAGCTCCCGGGCTCTTTTTGGAGAAAGTTAGAAACCCCAAAGACAAAAGAGTATTTCTGGCTGGGTGTGGCGGTGTGTACCTGGAATCCCAGCCTTTAGGAGGCTGAGGTAGGAGAATCTCTATGAGTTCGAGTCAGCCTGGGCAACACAGGGAGACCCTGCCTCAAGAAACAAAACAAAACAAAACAAACAAAAAAAGTATTTTCTTGGGGACCCATTGTGTGGTCTGTTCAGCCACAAGGATCAGGAAATACTTATTTCCTTTCCAAGATTCTAGATGTAGAGTAGTCAGCAGGTCCGAGGTTTGCAAACCTCCCAGCCCACCGGACTCTCGGGGGGAGGCGCGGTCCGGGCACTCGGGTGACTTCAGGTCGGTTCCTGTTTAAACCGGACCGGTTCTTGCACCCGCAGGTGCTGCTCCCACCCACGCGGACACACATGGCGCTGCTGCGGAAAGGTGAGAGCTCGGGGTTTTCTTTGCATTTTATAAAATACTTTAATTCTTGTCCTTCAAACTATAAAGACACAGGAGGTGGAAGCGGGACTGCCCCGCACGAGGGCCAAGGAATCGTGTGTCCATTGCCGGTCAGCTGTGACGGCTGCCACTTTGCCCAGCACCCTTTCTATCTGTGCGCCCCAGCATCCTCTTTCCCTGCTGCGGGAACTCGAGACCGCCTTCCCACACTGACGGCCACAGCTCTGAGGCCTGGCCGGAACCCAACATCACCCAGCAGCGTGCTCCGCTGTCCCCTGGTCACCCCGTCTCATTTGTCGCTGGAGAGAGGGGGGAGAGCTGAGTGTCCCCTTCCCCCTGTCCCGAGTGGGTCCTGACCACTCGCCCGGGCAGCTGCGTGCATTCAATGATCTTCCCGGGACCGAGCTGCTGCTGCTCCAGACGTGCACCTCACAACTGGGGGGCCCCCGGGACCCCGTCTTCTTCTGGCCAGCCCGGCTGCTGCCTCCTCCAGCCCGTGCGCCAGGCTGCTTCCCCTGAGACCTCAGGCTTTGAAAGTAAGGATTCCCGAGACGTCACAAGAGCGTTTTGACGCTGAGCTCTCCCTGACATCGCCGACGTCACCAAAGCTTTGGCCTCACGTCAGAAGAACCCCCTTGGCAGGCGCTAAGAGGAGGCCACACAGCTGCCTGAGACTGGGGCACAGGCCTCGCCGTCGCCTGGACACACAGGCGCCTTGGTGTATTCCTCTTCCTGAAGGAGCAAACCAGGTCTTCGGACGCGGAAGCCCTGAGCGGTGTGTGAGTTGGGGAGGTCGCTGTCACCTGATCCTGTCAGTGTCACTGGTTTTACAAAGGGAAGCCAAGGGCGCTCTGTCAGAAACTGGCTTTTCCACACTGAATTAAAGCCATGAACACGAACGTCCTGCGTAATCCATGCACAGCCAGTGCTGTGTGTGCCCTACCCAAAGACGCTGTCCCAGGCACCCCACTTCTCGGGATCCCCAGAGCAAGCACCCCCAGTGTGGACTAGAGGCCCCCGAGCCGTGGATCGGGCTGAGTGCTGGGCTCCCCGGGCCTTTACCAGGGCAGGGATTTCTGCACATCCTCCTTGACCAGTGGCTGAATTAAATGAAAAGCAGCCGTGTGCTCCGGGGTGCGGTGGTGCGCGCCTGTAATCTCAGCCCTTGGGAGGCTGAGGCAGGAAGAGTGCTGTGAGTTCGAGGCCAGGTTGGACTCTATAGCAAGTCCCTGCCTGGAAAATCAATTGCTGCTCAGGTCAGGCTTGCTGGTACTAAGCGCTATGTTGGGACCGGCCACGGGGAAAAAGCTCCTGCAGAGAGGGCTTGGAGGGCAGGGGCCGGTCACAGTCACAGGGCACGGTCAGGGGGTCACCGTCAAGTAAGCAGACTGTCGGGGAGGGGCCTGGGTCTCCCCTGGCTTCCTCTGTTTCCCTGGCAACTGGGGACCAGGTCAGCGGGCATCCCTGCTCCTGGCAGAGGCCCGGCTCCCTCTGCCCTGAGTTCCCCATTCCAGCTCCAGGCACCCCTGCTCCTGGCGGAGGCCCGGCTCCCTCTGCCCTGAGTTCCCGGTTCCAGCTCCAGGGCTCCGCGCCCACCGCTTCCGTTTCCCTTGCAGTCAACCAGGCCCTGCTGTTCCTGCTGATCGTGGCTGTGTGCGGGATTCTGTACAAGAAGGCTCGCAGAGCGGCTGTGTCCAGCAGCGAGGCAGGTAAGGGAGCGAGGGACCCGGCGGCCCAAGGTGCTGGGGGCTGGGGACACTCAGCCCCTGGCGGGTCCCTTCCTGAGGTGCCCTCGAGGCTCTGGCTGAGGAGGGCTGTTGGCTATAGCTGAGTGGGTAAGACTCCTGGGGTGGGTGTCACGCCCGCCAGCGGCCCGCAGGGCTGTTTAAGAAGCACCGGTGTGGGTAGGGCCTGAGAATGGATTTTTTCTTCTTTTTTTATCTTTTTTTTTCCTTTCTTTTGTTTTTCCATCCTGGGGATTGGACCCAGGGCCTTCACATTGAGCTAGATCACCCAACTTTCTTATTTGTTTTTTCCACACTAAATCAGAGCTGTCCAGGAAGGACTTGAACTTGCCAGCCTCCTGCCTCAGCCTCCCAAGAGTTGGGGTATTACCACCCCGGCTGAGAATTTACGTCTCTGACGAGCTCTGATTTTGCTTATGACAATGGCCTTCTCCCTCCTCCCCCTGCTCACCGGTTCCCATCAGTGTTATATCAGAACTTTGCTTAAGAACCCCACCTCCTGGGCAGGGTGCACTGAGGCGTCTTCCTTGGGGTGACTGCGCTGCCACACTGACACCCCCAGAATGAAGGCGCCCTGGTGGTGTGTTTATTAAATAAGTTACTTTTTATCAGTCAAGCAAATCCACTCGTATATGGAGAATGCGGAAGATACAGGTGCGACCCACAGCTGGCAGAGACAAAGACGGCTCACACTCGGGTGTGTCGCACACATCCGTTCCGTGCTTGGGCTGGAGCCGCCCAGTGTCTGTCCTCCCACAATGCTCCTGTTTCTTTCTGGTTATTGTAAAATTAAAAATCACTTAAAAGTCCTTTAAGTGGCTGGGAGTGGTGTCGCACACCTGTAATCCCAGCACTTGGGAGCTGAGGCAGGAGGACCACCACAAATTTGAGGCCAGCCTGGGCTATATAGTGAGACCCTGTCTCAAAAACAAGACAAAATGAACAAAAGTCACTTAACACCTGTGCGTTTTGGTCCATGAACGTTGAGCACCTCTGGAAAGAGAACGACTTCTCCCGAGCCCTGGGTGCTGCCGCTCACGGATTTATTCACAGCGTCCCGTGCGCAGCGGTGATGCACGAGGAGAGGAGTGCTGGGTGCCCACTCCGTGGCTTTCTCTGGCTGTAACGGGGACGGGTTAGTGATGCAGGCTGAAACAGGGCTGAACTTCAGAACCCTGTGATGGGCTGGAAGGCAGCTCAGTGGTAGAGCGCTTAACGCCTAGCATGCCTGAGGCCCTGAGTTCGAATCTCTGCACCACCAGACCAGAGAAGACTCCAGAAGGGTCCCTGTGCTAAAAGAAAGAAGCCAGCCCCAACAGCCTCCACCCCGCACGGCCCGCTGGCCCCTCTGGGAGGCTTGCAGGGAGAGGCAGCTCTGTGCAGAGCGGGCTGTGGCGGCTAGACAGCAGACCTCGGGATCGGGGCGGTGGCTGTGACAACTTCACAGATTTCCTAAAAGTTACAGGGTTGGTACAGGTGCGGAGATTAGCCAGGGAGCCTGCAGAGAAATCCCACAGCTGTTCCAGCCGGGGCAGGCCAGGCGCAGCACAGGCAGGGTGTCTGAGACCTCTGTCCCTTGGCTTGCGGGCAGCCGCCTTCTCCATCGGCCCAGAGCCTTCCCTGCTCTGGCCGCTGGTGTCTCCTCCTCTTCTGGGAAGCAGAAGGGGCTTGGGGTACCGCTTGAGATCTCGTTTTCACCCAATTTGTTCTTTAAAGGCTCTGTCTCCAAATGCAGTCCCGCCAGCCCAGTGCTGCCGGGTTAGGACTCTATCCATGGTGCGTGGGGAGGCCACAGTCTCAGCCCTCGCAGTGTCCGCGTCATGAATTATCCTGCAGGAAACTGTGCGGATGGACGGAGGCGGGAGGTCACACAAGGTCACCCGTCCTCTACCCGAAACCAGCACGCAAGTCTTCAATGAGCTGGGAGGACAGCTGTGTGGACTTGCTGGCCCTGGCACACAATGAACAAAGCGTTTGGACTCATGAATGGATGCAGTGTCATGGTTTTATCCCATTCAGGGTTAAAACAGAAAAAAACAAAATCCCTGTTACTGAAGAACCATTCAAAACAGTGTCCACAGGGGGAGACCCGCTCTGTGTGTTAAGTGTAAGGGTGAGTGACGTCAGATGTGGTGGTGCACGCCTGTCATCCCAGCACTCGGGAGGCTGAGGCAGGAGGATCGTGGCATGTTTGAGACCAGCTTGGGCTACAGAGTGAGCTCAAGGCCAGCCTGAACTGCACAGCAGGACCCTGCCTCAAAAGGACTGGAAAAAAAAACAGCACGAGTGTCAGAAGAGTACACAAAGTGTCCCACCAGGATGTCCAAATCGTGTCTGTGCCCTTTAGGGTTTACACGAAGCAGGGCTCGTGGCTCGCGTCACATTGGTAGCAGGGATCGTCCTTTGCATTGGGTGCCAAGTCCACGGGATTGTCGTGCCTTACGTACAGTCTCAGCGTGGGCTGGAATCTTGCAGGAAGTGTGCATTAAAGTTTGGATGTAAGAAACCCTCAGTCAAGGAACCAGTGCTGTCAGTTAGCGTGCGGAGGCCCTGTGGCCTCGTGTGCTGCAGACAAGAGAGATGTCCTTCCCGGAGCCTCCTGGTGATGACATTCCACGTGACCCCTGACTGTCCCAGTGGCTCACACGCGGGGGATTCTCCTGGGGAAAGACACTGCCCCCTCATCCAAGCGGGGACGGCGGGAAGGGGCTGGCCAGGCCCACTCCCACCCGTTCTCCTAGTCCTGGTGGGCACCAGGCCGCGGCCCTCAGCCAGACCTTGGGAAGGGCTGGCCCCGGTGCCTGTGGGCACGGTGGATCCAGAGTGCAGCGGTCCCCAGAGCCGCCCCCGGGGCAGGCGCGGTGCAGGGCTGTGCTTGTGCCCTCTGTGCCCCTCCCTGCCATCTCTGCGGGGTCTTTGTCCTTCTTTCCGTGCAGCAGAAACGTCTTGGCAGAGAGCGCTGTTTCGGTTCAGGGTGGCGCTGGGTCTCTGCCTGGCAGAGGACGTTAAGGAGCACACGGGGACTGGGGGCAGGGGAGAGCAGCGGGGGAGGAGTTCTCTTTCCTGAGGGTCTTCAGTTGCGCTGTCCTGGCTGCCTCGGTGTCTGGGATTTACATTCAAAATCCCTCTGCTTTCCTGCTCATTTTATCTTGGGGAAGAGCCACGGGTCTCACGGTGCCAGATCCAGTGAAGGAATTGGCAGAGAACACGGTGTCATGATTTGCCATCTGCCTTGCCCTGGTGGCCTCCGGCAGCGGTCACTGTGTATTTATTTATTTTTAATCACACCTGTAAAGATGCTCATGACAGAGGACTCCAGGGCTGCTTCAGAAAGCAGCGAGAGCGATGGCTGTGTTCCAGGTGAGGGGAGGGTTTGCAGGGGGATTCATGACAATGTCTTTTTCTTTTTTCGTTTTGAGACAGGGTCTCACTGTGCAGTCCAGGCTGGCCTTGAGCTGGGTTTGTAGCCCAGGCTGATCTCAACCCTGCAAGGATCCTCCTGCCTCAGCCTCCCCCTCCCGAGTGCTGGGAAGCAGTGTCTTTTATTGTGATAAACTATTTTGATGTTAACGTTCATGGTGTATTTGGATCACCCTGTACACCTTCGAGCCTCTCTGGGGTGCCCCTCTCCTGGGGACACGCTCCCCCAGGCTCACACGGCGCTGCCTGCCGAGCACCTTGCTGTGCACCGCATCCTGCTTTTGGACTCTGCTCTCTTGGCCCCTGGGGCGAAGTTCTCCCCAGCCTGCTCCCCGGGGGCACCCCATCTGCCCTGCTCCTTTCAGCACGCTTCCCTTAAGCGTTTCTAAGTGCGGAATGATCACTAAGCTCCCCACATGCCGCGTGGCAGGTGCCAGCAGGGTCTCCCAGCCATCATGGCACCCTCAGGGTCTGGAGAGCGCACAGGTGGGCACAGAGAGTGCGGAGGGGAACCAGGTGCCACCTGGGCCCAGCTGGGGCTCCGGTGTGATGGGAGGGAGGGGAAGACACACAGTGTGGCTGATAAACCCGCTGCAAGCCAGGCTCAGCCAGCCCAGACCAGACGGTGCCCTGGGCTATTGAAGGCTTTGCAGGTGTGCAGGAGTTCACTGGCAGGAGAGCATGGAAGAGCAGTCCTGCACCAGGAACAGCATGTGTGGAGAGCATGTGGCTCAGGGCCAAGAAGGGAAGCACTGTGGTTTGGCGAGGCTGGGCCAGGCGCGGGCGAAGCCACAGGAGGGGCTGCATCTCTAGGGGCTTCGAGTGCCAGGCAAAGGATAGGAAAACCTGCACACCAAGAAAGACAGTCACAGATTGCACTCGAGCAGACCACATCTCCGTCCTCTGGGAGGATAGCTCACTTCAAAGGAACAAACCTTGAAGAAAAGTAGTTTGGTTGTTTATAAAAATAAATCATGACACTGGGGCTATAGCTCAGTGGCACAGCATCTGCCTGGCAAGTGCAAGGCCCTGAGTTCAATTCCCAGTACCAAAAAAAAAAATCCTGGGCCAGGTGTGGTGACACACAGCTGTAATCTTAGCACTCAGGAGGTTGAGACATGAGGATCATCACACGGTTGAGGCCAGCTTGGGCTACGTAGTGAGTTCAAAACCAGCCTGAACTACATAGTGAGATGCTGTCTCAAAAAACAAAAGAAACAAACCAAAAAACATAGTTACTTTAGAGAATTTGGAAAATGTAAAAGAACAAACAAAATTAAAATTCCAAGTAACTGTGTAAGTAGACATGGGGCCGTTTGCTGTGCGTTACATCGGGGTCAGACACTAAGGAGAGTGTTCCATTCTCTTCCCCACAGTTGCGCCGGCTTAGGAAGATTCTCTCGCGGCAGGAAATGCACAGTGAAAGCAAACTCATGCTGGTGGTGGAGGTTGCGAGGGTTTCCAAGCGGGTGAAAAGCTGGAGAGCGGGGAGGCTGCTTAGGGTCAGAGCCTCTGCCTGCCCCTGAGTTTCTGTTAGCGCTTGTTGAGTTAAGTACCAGGTAGAAATACCTAGGGCCTGAGTGTAGACAGAGGTTTTCAAAGAGGGAAAAATGGTATCTGTAAAGAGAGACAGAATTTTAAGTAAAAATCGAGCACCACTTGGTAGTAGATAGTTATGTTCTCCACACCTGGGTGCTGTCCTGTGGTACCAAGATACGGTGGTTTGGCCTTGGTATTTTATCTGTTTTCAGGGCAGAAAAGAATAAATCTGTCACCCCTCTTGCATTTGTTTTTTCATTCATCTATCTTTTTTTTTTTGAGACAGGGTCTCGATGTATAGTTCAGGCTGCCCCTGAACTCACTGCGTAGCCCAGGCTGACCTTGAACTTGCAGCAAGCATCCTGCCTCAGCCTCCTGAGTTCATGAGAAGCTCCACTACAGAGTGTGTAGGGGAAGGAAAATCACAAGCACCTTGTTTTATAGAAACAAGGCAAGACGACTGCTATTCTGATTCAAGGAAGAGTTAAGAACAGCTGAACCAAGGAGACTCCTAGTTCTTCATACGTTTCTCGTGTGTGTGTGTGTGTGTGTGTGTGTGTGTGTGTGTGTGTGTGTGTCTGTTAGATTGGGTCCTGGGAGACAGCTCCGGAGTAACCTGGACTTAGCAGTGTAATTGCTCTTACAAATGAAAATCTGATGTGTCAGTTCTGCAGTCACCCAGATCAAAATGCCTTCTGGGGGAAGCAGGCATTCTTTCGAAGGACAGACCAGTAGCTGTGCACGTTACTTGAATTAACAAGCCGTTTGTCAGAGCACCGCATGTGTAGCTGCAAGGGAGTCCAGGAAGAGTTGCAGTGGTTGGCTATTTTGCAATTATAGATTCAGTGATTTCTGTTTTTTATAGATACTGAGGATTGAACTCACAGCCTCATGTTTGCCAGGCAGATGCTGATGCCACTGCACCTGCCTGGCCTAGTGGTTGGCTGTATGCTGGCTGAAATGTCCCCATTCTTTCCTGAGGAAAGAAGGACAGGCTGGGTGCTGGCAAGCAAGGGTGGTCAGCCTCTTCCCCACCCAGCTGTCTGCCCCCAGGAGTGTGAGGGTGAGTCAAACCCTCGGCTGTGAAGCCCCTTCCTGTCCCAAGACACCCATCTTGCTGTTTGCAGATGAGGGCTCGGAGCCCCCAGAGGACGTGGACGAGGAGATCCCGGTGGTGATCTGTGCCGCGGCTGGGCGGATGGGCGCCACCATGGCCGCCATCAACAGCATCTACAGCAACACAGACGCCAACATCGTGTTCTACGTGGTCGGGCTCCGGAACACTCTGTCCCGAATACGGTAGTGCACACAGCACCTCTGAGCTCTCTGCTCTGTGACGCTTCCCTTCCTTTCCCCGAGCGGATTCCCTTCCTTCCTGGGTCGACGAGTGTTGTAAGAATGAGCAGGGCCTGGCCCGTGGTCAGGCTGGAGACCTGGCAACTGAGGGCATCGGCAAAGACACAGTCACCTCCAGGAGGGCTGTGTGGTCTAGCCAACGGCTCTTCCGCGAGTCTAGGAGATGGTTTCTCAGTTCACCACCTTCTTTCTTAACCTGGGAGAGTATTAGCAAACTTAGCTATTTTGATATGGCTTTGAGTTACTAAACATACATAAAATCCTTCCTTCCTGTCTGTCTTTCTTTCTTTCTTTCTTTCTTTCTTTCTTTCTTTCTTTCTTTCTTTCTTTCTTTCTTTCTTTCTTTCTTTCTTTCATGCCTGGTATCGAACCCTCAGCCCTGCACACACTAATCATGGCCTCTACCACTGAGCCGCATCCCCAGCCCTTTTTGTTTTGAGCTGGTCTCACCAGGTTGCCCAGACCTGGCATCCAACCTGGGATTCTTGTGTCAGCACCTCACGTAGTTGTGAATATAGGCAGTCAGCACCATGTCCTGCGCCAAAAATACAATTTTTGAATGACCAATTTACAATTTTTTTTCAACTTTCCATTTTGAACTGAGTTTTATTATCACATACAATATGAAAAGTTAAATTTGAGTTAGATTACCTAGAAATAAACTGAAATTCAAAATGTAGGTGTATTATACAAATACGAGAAGACTACAGTCTTGTATGAAGAGCATCTCCCTGGGCCAAAAATAATAAGAATAAACTGACAAATCCAACTGTGTGACATTAAAACTTTTGAACAATGAAAGCCAACCAGTGAAATTAGTAATGCTGAAATTAGCAGCAAATCCATGTCTTATAGACAAAAGAATGACTCTACAAAGTAAATTGTTCTCCAAAAAGCATTATGAAACTCCCGTCTTAAATCCTTGAGTATGGTAATTTTTATAATGCACGTCAACTTATTCCTTAATTGTTAGTTTTGAGATAGAGACCTTTGATTAGTAAAAAAAAAATTAAAGAATTGTTGCTGAGGATTTAGCTCAGTGGCATAAGCACCTGCCTTGTAGGCACATGGTCGTGAGTTCGATCCTCAGTACCAAAAAAAAAAGAATTGTTTAAAAAATACAAGCCTTCAGGGCAGGGTGACACATGCCTGTCATCCCAGTACTCAGGAGGCTGAGGCAGGAAGATCACTGTGAGTTCAAGACGGGGCTACAAAGTGAGCTCAAGTCCAGCTTGAACTGCACAGTGAGACCCTGTATCAAAAAGACAAAAATAAATAAGTAAATAAAACTTAGCATTGAAGCGAACACACAAACAGAAACTTCTGTTCCTCGCAGAGTGAGCACATCGTGTCACATTGCTGTGTGCTCGCTGACAGCTGGCACTGCCCGCCCTTCTCACCGTCTCCCCGCAGGGTCCCGGGTGGGATGAACCTGCAGTGTTTATTTCTGACCCAGCTGCGTAACTTCCCCACCGTTTCTCGGGCATTGGGAAGTGTGTGTTCAGTTCTCTCGCCTGCTTTCCACTAGGTTGACTTTTTTTCTCATCGATATGATTGATTTTTAAAATTCAAATTTTATGGACCTAAACTTTTTATTGAATTTTTTTGAGGTGCCAGGGACGAACCCAGCGCTCCCACATGCTAGGCCCCCTCCACCGCTGAGCTGGAGCCCGGCCCTCTTTCCGTAATTTTGCTGCCACCTGTGGCTTTCATTGGTGGAAATGTTGATTTGAGATTGCTTCTGCCAACGCTGTCGTTATGAATTGGATAAAAGAGGTTTTTAAAATTGAGAAAATGGCTGGGTGTGGAGCCGCACACCTGTAATCCTAGAACTCAGAAGGCTGAGGCAGGAGATCACCTCGAGTTAGAGGCCGCCCTGGGCGCTATAGTGAGTTCAAGGCCAGCCTGACCTACACAGCAAATCTCACCTCAAAACAAAAAAATCAAATTAAAAAATACTGAGAAAATGTAGGGGAGAGGGTGCTTGGGAGGAGGAAGAGGTGGGAATGAGGGAAGATGGGGGGAGTGAGAGATGGGGCGGAGGCAGAGACCAGCCTTGCAGTCGGAAAACCAGACTAGAGCAGGCATGTATGCAGTCCCAGCTGCGGGGAGGCTGAGGCAGGACGGTTATGAGTTTGATTCCAGCCAGAGGTTCACAGTGTCTCAAAATAAAAAGTGACGAAGAGGAGGGAGCTCTGAGAGGCTGAGTTCAGTCCCTGGTACTGCAAAAACTAAACCAAACCAGCCAGACTCAACCAACAGAGACCCACAGCAGAATACAGATGACCCAAGGGGAAGGTTCCGAATGTCCCACTTGGTCACGCTCAGAACTGGTACCAGCTGGCAAGGGAAGTTCCCGCAGCTGCATGAACTGCTTTATAAAGAAAAAGGAACATTTTGTTGTTGGTGGTGTTGTTCTGCCCGTTTCCTGGGGAGCAGCTTTGGATCTGAGGAGGTATTTGGTTACTGTTTGATTTCCTGTACGGAATGGCGTGGGTGGGGGGAGGTGTTGCAGGGCGGAGAAATGTGAGGCGGGACCAGATGGCTAAGAAAACCCAGAGGAGCACGCAGACCAAATTCCACCCGGTCTACACACACTGCCCTGTTACGTCTAGGTGGCAGCAGACTGGCCCGGGGCACTAGGCGAAGGGAGATTGTGTTCTTACTGTCTCTTTAGGAAATGGATCGAACATTCCAAACTGAGAGAAATTAACTTTAAAATCGTGGAATTCAACCCTACAGTCCTCGAGGGAAAGATCAGACCAGACTCTCCGAGGCCCGAGTTGCTCCAGCCTGTGAGTAGCAGTCACACAGGTGCCGGGACTGTCCCTGGGGAGACCGTTGGTCAGTGCAGAGCTCTGGTCACCAGTGGCACAAAATACTTTCAAAGCTTCACAGGGGTAGATCTCCAGTGAGCTCCCCACTGTGGAAAAGGTTTAAGATGGTTTACAGTATAAGCATGATGAAGTTACTACAAAGACATGAGGCATTAAAAAATGTAGGTAAGAGCCAGGCGTGGTGGTACATGCCTGTTATCCCAGTACTTGGGAAGCTGAAGCAGGAGGATGCCATGAGTTCAAGGCCAGCCTGGTTACATACATAGTGAGTTCAAGGCCGGCCTGAATGATACAGCAAGACCCTGTTCAAAAAGAAAAGAAAAAGAAAAAGAAAGAAAGAAAGAGAAAAGAAATGTGTAGACCAAAGTTACCCTGTGAATATGTAGCAGGCCAGGTGGCAGCTAGGAAAACATACTCGCTACCCTTAGGCTCTTGTATCCCCAGCCTTTGTACCCTGTTTTCAGCTCTGGGTAGCTGAGCTGCTCTGGATACCCCCTCCCCATCTGGGATACTTTATTCATTTATTTCGGTGCCAGGAATCGAACTCACGGCCTTATACTTACCAGGCAAGCACCTGAGTCACTGAGCTAAATCCCTGGCCCCAGCTGCAGATATTTATTGTCAGATAGGAGCCCAGTGGGGACAGTGACACAGTGCTGTCACTAATGAAACTTCAAAGCCCTTGCCAACTCTTCTTGCTCCCGGACCCTTCTCTGGATCAGGGAGCTGAAAGGTCAGGTGGTTGCTGGGATGGTGCACATGAGGCTGATTTAGTAATGCAATTGTGATGACCAAACATGGGGGACACAGGCAGCTGTACCCCTAAAGACAGGCCTGGGAATCCCAGAGACAGGGAACCCAGGTGATGAGGAATCTGGGTGATAGGGAATCCTGGTGTTTCAGTTACTTTTGTCTGGTTGTTAAGACAAAATACCCAGCACCCAAAATGAAAGATGGAAAGGTTTATTTAGCTTGCAGTTTGTGGAGGTTTCAGTTCATACTCAACTGGCTCCAGGGCAGGGTGGCGTGGCACAGGGGCAACACTTCAGGGCAGCAGCCAGCAAAAGCAGCCAGACAAAAGTGGGGAGAACAACCTCTTCTCCCCCCTTATATTACACGCAGGCCTCCACCTAGGGCAGGTGTAGCACTCCCCCGCCCTTGCCCAGGATGAGGTGTTTGTTTACACAGTGAAGACCTTTGCCTGCTGCTGAGTCTCTCAGGTAAACCTCTAAACTTCTCAAGTTGACACAATGTATCAACCATTACAATCCGCCCCTTATCAGCCTGGCAGCCAGACACATTTCTTTAAATGGGTCTCCAGACATAAAGACATACTTGTCATTAATCGTTCACAACTTGAACATTATTGTACAGGGTTAACAATCCTTAAGAACCAGCATTAAGTTTGTCAACATATGTTACATTGGAACCCTAACATTTTGTCCCTGGACCCCCAAAGACTCATGCACATCCCTTTATGCAAAAAGGCATTTAGCCCATCTGCAACAGTTGTCAGAGTCCTAACAGTTTCAGCATTGCTGCAAAGTTCAAGTCACAAGTCTCTGAGATGTAAGGAACTCTTAGCTACAGATCCCTGTAACATATGAAAGCAGAGTTAAACACTTCCAACCTTCCAACCTGCAATGGCACAACATAAACATTTGATTCCAAAAGTTACCAGCGGGGATGCAAAAGGATCAGGACCAAAACAAGTACAAACTCCAGCAGGGCGAATGTTAAATCCTGAAGCATCTGTGGCTCCAGGGGCTTGTGTGGCTCTGCCCCCACGGCACCTCTGGTGCTCACAGCTCCTGTGGCTTCTCTCTTAGGCTTGTTTGCTGTCTCGCAGCTTTCCCTAGATGATCCACATTCCTGGCTTTTCCACACTTGTGGGGTCTCCACCGTACCTTCAGCTTCACGCTGCCTCTCAGGGGTGCACTGCTGGCCTCCCAGGCCTTCTGACCTTGAGGTGGAAGCCTTAACCCCAAACCTCTTGCATTCTAAAGCCAGCACCAAGTTCTGGTGCCACAGGTGGATGAGCCAAGCTCTGCTGCCAGCTGGAGCAGTAGCCGGGCTTTGCTCCCTCTTGGCTGTTGGGGTAGCGTCCCTGGATCACTGGGCACTGGGAATCCAATTCTGAGGAACCAATTTTCTGTACTGCCACTATTCTGGGACGTGGTGCGCTGTGGCTTTCTCCTCAAAGCAGTCTTTTACTTTTGCAGTTTTGGGGCTGCAAAAGGAAAGACTTGTTGCTTGTCTTGATGCCCTCAGGCCAGCTTTGATACTCTGTTTCCTCTCGGCATCTGTGATTTCCTCAGCTCTATCTTTACAGTCGGCAGATTCACTGGAGCTTCCTTTCTGGCCAAACTCATGTTTTAAATCATCCTCTGGGCTCTTTGCTCTTGATTCACAACATAAATCTGTCTAAAGCCCCCAACGATAGCCATGCCATGGCCTCAACATTTGACTACCTCGAAATCTCTTCTGCCAGGATAGTCAGTCCACTGCCTTAAATTTAGTCCCAGGCAGTCTCTGGATGGGGCCGAAGTTCAGACAGACTTTCTGCCAGGCCATTACACACGTGGTCTGGAGTCTGACGGCTGGCGCAGTCCTTTTCCCAGCAGAAACCCCCCGACCTGCCCTTTACCAGCAGGCTCTCTTCAGCCTCCTGGTCTTCAGGGCTCCGGCCAGACCTCCTGCACAGAACAGCCTAAGCTGCTCCAGTGCGTTCAGGCTTCCAAAGCTTCCCAGACTCTTCCCAACAGCCGTCCATTCCCAAAGGGTCTCGAACCTCACGGTCAGGTACAGTCACAGCAACAACTCCCCTGCTCTGGTACTCAAGTCTGTCTTGGTCACTTTTCTCTTGTTGCTGAGACAAAACACCCAACACCCAAAATGAAGGAAAGGTTTATTTAGCTCCCAGTTTGTGGAGGTTTCAGTCCATAACCAGCTGGCTCCAGGCAGGGCACCCGGGCAACAGGTCAAGGCTGCAGAAGACGGCAGAGCAACGAGAGCACAGGACGGGGTGTTACAGTCAGGACCCTGGCCCCTGCCAGTCACTTAAACCTCTGAACTTCCCAGGCTGACACAATGTACCACTGGCGACACTGGAGGGGAGGTGCACTGGGACGCAGCAGGGGCGCCTGCCAGTGAGGTTCCCGCCCCTTGGGCCGCCTGGGTCCCCTGCAGCGCAGTGGCTGTGGTCGACACAGCACCCTGGCCCCCACAGGAAGCCCCGAAGCACTGCCTCTTCCCCTCCCCTGCCCTTGTTTTAACAGCTGAACTTCGTCCGGTTTTACCTCCCGCTGCTTATCCACCGGCATGAGAAGGTCATCTACTTGGATGACGATGTCATTGTGCAAGGTACGCTCGCCTCGGCTAGGGGGACGCAGGTGGAGGCCATTGCCCAGGCCCAAGCACCCTGAAAGCTTAGGGCAGCATGCCTGGACACAGCCCGTTAGAGATATGCCAGGGACTGTGTTGCAAGCAGGGTTGAGTGTTTCCTGTTGGTCCAGCTGGCTCTCTCTTCCAACGATCAGGTCTGCAGTTACTGGCGTGGGAGCAGGTTCCTTCTCTAGAACCCTAAAATGTGTGGAGAGCCGCGGGTGGTGGTGAACACCCACAACCTCAGCTCTTGGGAGGCTGAAGCAGGACGACTGCTGAGAGTTCAGTGCGACAGTGGGCTACATAGTGAATCCAGCCTGACCATGTCCCAAAAAGCAACTAAACAGCCAGGCATGGTGACATACACCTGTAATCCCAGCACTTGGGAGGCTGAGGCAGGAGGATTGCTACAAATTTGAGGCCAGCCTGGGCTCCATAGTGAGTTCAAGACCAGCCTGGACACACAGCAAGACCTTGTCTCAAAGCAAAATAGAACAAAAAAACCCAAGCAACAAAACCAAGCCAAAGAGAAGTACAGAAATAGTTTCGCTGATGATATTCTTAGTGACCTAAATTTGGGTGGTTTCTGTAGACTGGGTCTCACTGTGGAGCCCACGCTGGCCGCAGGTTTGCAGTGATCTTGCTTCCACAGTGCTGGGATTGTGGGTGTGTGCACTGTGCCCAGCTCTTACATTTGGGTGCTTAAATACCACGTTCCGGCTGCTCCACATGCCAACAGCATACACACTGCCTGATGTAGGCGGCAGCCGTACATCTGGCTGGCACCAACCTGGTCAGTGGCATCCAAACGGGCGCCAGCTCTTATGTTCAGTGAGTTGTTTTTGAGACACAGTCGGTCTCGCTATGTAGTGCAGCTGGCCTGAACTCACACGATCTTCCTGCCTCAGCCTCCTAAGTGCTGGATGACGGCGTGTACCACCAAGGCTGGCTGCACAAGCTCTTACTGCACAAATCGCCATGCTGTGTGACATCAGGCCTCTCCCTCCCCACAGCAAGATCAGGGCTTGTAAACGCCAAGGCTCCTCCTGACTCTCCAGCGTGTGCCGACGCTGAACTGCTGCCGTCTCCCACGCAGGTGACATCCAGGAGCTGTACGACACCACCCTGTCTCTGGGACACGCAGCGGCGTTCTCAGGGGACTGTGACTTGCCGGCAGCTCAGGACTTCAGCAGGCTGGTGGGGCTGCAGGTGGGCACCGCGGGCCCCCCTTCCCCTTCTGCCCACGCCGAGAACCGGGCCATCAGGGAGATGGTGCCAGCCGTGGGACTGTCCATTCCCATCCCTGTCCCTGTCCCAGACCTTGTGCCTCAGGCTGGGCAAGTCCCACGCTGCTTGAGTGGAACATACCTCTGGGTGTGTTACCGCGAGCCGAGGTGAGATAATGCACTGGCCACGTGGGCAGTGGGCCGTTTGCTATGAAAGACTCCCTGGGGGCTGGGGATTTAGCTCAGCGGCATAAGCACCTGCCTTGCAAGCAGGCGGTCATGAGTTCAATCCCCGGTACCAATAAAAATGAAAAAGACAAAAAACAAAACAAAAAAAAAAAGAAAGACTCCCTGACTGGGCACTGTCCACCCCCTCTCATTTTGAGTTGGGGTCTTGCCAAGTTGCCTGAGCTGGGCTGTCAGACCTTTTGAGCCTCTCAGGATGCCCTGATTCCAGGTGTGCAAAAGCGCACCTTTTTTCCCCCTTTTACTAGAGGAAAATACTAATTTTGCTGAAGGATAAGGATCTCCTTACCCTACTGTAAGAAAGGACATTTCGGCATATATTTAATGGCAGCCAAAAATAAAATAAGCTTTGCATGCCTGTAATCCCGACAACCAGGAGGCTGAGGCAGGAGGATTGCTACAAGTTTGAGGCCAGCCTGGGCCACACAGTGAGTTCGAGGCTAGCCTGCACTGCCTCAAAATGTAAAGTCCTTTTTGAGAAGCAAACGACCCCTCTGCCTTGCAGAACACATACATGGGCTTCCTGGACTACCGGAAGAAGGCCATCAAGGACCTGGGCATCAGCCCCAGCACCTGCTCCTTCAACCCCGGCGTGATGGTGGCCAACATGACAGAGTGGAGACAGCAGCGCATCACCAAGCAGCTGGAGAAGTGGATGCAGCGGAACGTGGAGTGCGTGCCCCCGCCCCCGCCCCCTGCTCGGCCCTTGGCTGCACCCGGCTGGGGCTGGGAATCACTTCCCAAGCTGGAGGGGGTCCCGAGCACAGGGAGAGGCAGGGGGCAGGAAGACGGGAGCCCGGCCCAGAGTCCTGAGTTGTTCAGGATTGTGCCTTTGTCAATGAGACGCCTCCTGTAGAAATCTGTTTTTAAGGACTGTTTTATAAAGCTCATGAAACTTTTTTCCCCTTGGTATCAGGAATTGAACTCACAACCTCAGTGCTGTGCCGCTGAGCTAAATCCCCAGCCCCAAAAAGGCTTTTTAAAGTTAGGTGTCTGCTGGTTTGTTTCTTGAGACATGGTCTCGCTGTGTAGTCTGGCTTGGCCTCGAACTTGCAGTGACCTTCCTGCCTCAGCCTCCTGAATGCTGGGATTACAGGAAGTGCCACCACACCTGGCCAAAGGCTGGCTCTTTTAATTTATAATTTTTCATTGTAAATGTTTTAAAGAGAACATAAAATAACTAAAAATAACTGTGATATGACTATGCCTCTCACGTCACGGTATGGCCTGTCTGCATGTCTGGATACCCTCATAACCTGCAGTTGTTAACACAGGGTCAGAATTCTTACATGGCTACCAGAGAAGTCAGCCTGAGCATTCAAATAGCAAATATTAACATTGTGAATCTAAAAGGAGTCGATGGGGGTCCACAGCTCAACAATATTTTTTTTGGTGGGGTTCTGAGGCAGGATCTCCCTGTGTAGCCAGGCTGGCCTTGCACTGGAGGCGATCCTCCGGCCTCAGCCTCCTGAGAGCTGAGGTTACAGGAGTGCACCACCACTCCTGGCTCGACAACTTTCAAAATGAGGGTTCTAGAAAAGAACGAAGAGTCCCAAGTTAACCCGTACAGGGACGGCCGAGGGTCTTTGTAGAGCGCCATGTGGGCGTCTGCTTTCCGTGACCCTGGCTGCTCACGGCCCATGTACCCCTCTACCCTCAGGGAGAACCTCTACAGCAGCTCCCTGGGGGGTGGCGTGGCCACGTCGCCCATGCTCATCGTGTTCCACGGGAGACACTCCACCATCAACCCGCTGTGGCACATCCGGCACCTGGGTGAGTCTGCAGGGCCCCGGCAGGGGGCACTCGGTAGCCACTGGGACCCGTGGGCCCCTCGACCTGCACTGGCCAGTGGTGGGAGGTGTTGGGGCTTCACTAGGCTGACAGTGTGGGTTCAGGCTCAGGGGCTGTGCTTTCCGCTGGGTTTAATCCCGGCATCATAATAAATTGTATCTAGAGAATGTGTAAGGTGTACTTGGCCAGAAACAGCAGTTACTTGTGCTGGCCTGGCAAGCGCAAGGTCCTGAGTTCGATTCCCAGTACTCTTGCCTGCCCCCCAAAAAGGGAACAAAACGGCAATTATTGCCCAATTGCAGGCCCCTCTGAGGTAGTTCTTCTTTGGCCTTTTTGAGACAGGGTCTCAGGCTGGCCTTGAGCTTACAGCAATCCTCCTGCCTCAGCCTCCCGAGTGCTGAGATAACAGGCACACACCAGCTCTGAGGTAGCTCAGTGCAGCCCTCTGCCCAAGGCTGAGGTCACACAGGGGAATCCTGGGGCAGGTCCTGCCATGCACACTGCACTGTCTCCCTGGTCCTGTGACCCTGGCTCCTCATCCCGGCCTTCTCCTGCCCTCTCTGCTCACCGCAGCACTGGTTACTGAACACAGGACAATTACCAAATTCCCATTCATGGGGGGACCCTGAACCCCAGACAGGGCATTGGTGAGAGTACTGGGGTTGAGCCCACGGCTTCACGCCCGTTAGTGTTCATTGCTGTCTGCCCGCCCGCAGGCTGGAGCCCTGACGCCAGGTACCCGGGGCGCTTCCTGCAGGAGGCCAAGCTGCTGCACTGGGACGGGCAGCACAAGCCCTGGCGCTCCCCCGGTGCCCACACTGGCCTGTGGGAGAGTTGGTTTGTCCCCGACCCCGCGGGGATTTTCAAACTCAGTCATGACAGCTGACTCCGTACTGGGGACACGGTGTGGACACAGGGAGCTGCCCGTTGCCAGTCCTGCACTGTTCTGTGAGCACTGCCCTCCACCCGTACGCTCCTCCGACTCCTGCAGGAGCTGCAGAACCCACTGGGCGGGCTCCACGGACCTGGGCACATCTCCTAGTGCGGGTGGGCAGCGTGGGGGTCGGGACACGTGGGAAGGAAGCCAGGGGTATGGGAGCAGCGGTCACCTGCTTCATAACCCTGACTGACTGGTAGGGCCACACTTCTTAAAAATTCCTAAATAGGTTTTTTGCATCTGAGTATATTTTTGAAACAAGTTGCCTATCTTGTCTTTTATCAAAATGATTGCATTTAAAATGTGGAAACCTGTGAAAATAAAGTATTCGTGGTTTTGTATGATTTCTTCACGTCTGTGACTACGTATTACACAGTGTTGGAGTCACACATTATGGTTGACAGGGATGAGCGCCAGGCAGTCCTGGCACAGAAGGAAACCTGTAACTGAGAAAGGTTAGCAGTCTCAGGCATTTAATGGCAGAAACCACCACACTTTCAACTGCGCCTTAAGATCTTTCCATACTGTTTAATGGAAAAGCCTCACACACCTCGGGAAGCCTAGCCCCTGGGGAGGGGCTGTGTCCCCCAAAGGCACTTCCTGCACCCCAAGGAGCCCAGCACAGGAGAAAGTCACCCAGTCCTCCCGGTCCTGCCGCGAGCCACCCTCACCCCAGAACCACCCAGGGGACAGCAGTACAGTGCACTTTAAATAACACGAGCCACTCACACAGCATGACCGCACAGAGGAAGTAAGTCCATCATCACGAGAGCTAAAAAGCACAGTAAGGTTTAGGAGGGTTTGCTTCTCTTACTATAAATACACCAGTGGCTGTGCACCCCCCTGGGGGACAGGGAAGCCTGCTGGGGTCTCCTCGCTGCGGACTCAGTGGCCCTGGGTTGCATGGCAGCAGGATGTGGGGAGTGGGCAGGGTGCGTGAGAGTGGCATCTCTAGGTACCCGGCTCTGACAGCCACCAGGCCCGGGCTGTGCTGTCTGTAGCACCATGAAAATCACATTGGAAAATCACAAAGGAACAGCATTCCTCCTCTCCATGAGCTTCCCTGTCAAGGGCGCGGAGGGTTTGTAAATTGTTACACTGACCTGGCAGGAGCACACCTGGGGCAGTGCACTACATGTGCACGCAGCACCTGCTAAATAAGTTTATCCAACACCTGCAGCACCACGGGCTCGGCCGGACAGTGGCCCTCTGGGCGAGCTCCGTGTCAGCACCCGGAGGCCCAGGAGGGGAAAGCAGGGGAGACAGCACCAACGGGGAGTCACAGGACTCCCCGAGTTACAGACACAAGCAGCAGCAGTGCGGCCCCACCAGGGGTAGCACACGGGTCAGCCTGTCTGCAGGTCCAGGTCATACTGGGTCTGCACTCTAGGCCACTGTCACACACTGTGACGGCAAAGGAAGGCGGCCTGAGCCCACTGCCCGCACCAGTCCCCCGAGGAGAGTGCCCCCGGGCTGCACGCCCGCACTCCCCCGAGGAGTCTGGTCCGATGCCCGTCTGGGCACACAAGGGTACTGGCCTCCTGACGTGCTCAGTCGGGAATCAAGTGTAAACATTCAGCTGCTGCCCTGGGTCTCCCTACACAGCCCAGGCTGGCCCTGAACTCAGGCAGTCCGCGTCAGCCTCCCGAGTGGCCGGGATTACAGGTGTGTACCACCACGCACGCTCAGCCGGCCTGCTGTTTTCTAAAATTACACATCAAGGGTGACCCCCCCCCCCCAGGAGAATCAGTGTCTTCATGGACGAAATGCAGTCTATAAAAAGCCGCAGTGATAGCTAGTTCAATACAAAAACACGTAAAAAGCCCCACTTTTCCCTTCCAAACCACTCGGTCCTACGGGCCACTTCTCGGGGGCTCCGCGCTGGGCCCCGGCCAGGGACGCAGGGTCCGCGGCCCCTCGGGAGCTGCAGCGGCCGAGCTCCATCCTCATGCGCGGCCCGCTGCCCCCGGCTCCTGCAGCCCGGGGTGGGCGGCGAAGGCGGGGATCCGGTCCGTGAAAGGCTGGGGCTGGGGCAGCCACTGCCCGCTCGGGAGGTCACCGCACGCCGACTCAGACTGTCCTGGCCCCGTGCCGGCAGCTGCAGGGGAGGGAGGTGGGCTTCAGGGTCTGGGCGCACCCGGGGGCTTTGCAGGTTGGGGGGCCTATGGGGACGGTGGGGGCTCCTGGGGACACGGAGGACGAGGCTCCGGGAACAAACCCCACGTGGCACCTCTGCCACACACGCTGCCCCTTACCGGTCACTTAGGAAGGGCGGGTTTGCTGTGTGGCACAAAGGGTCGACCCGACCATCACCCCAGGCCCCATCACCCAGGCCCTGTCACCCACCACCCTTTCAGGACTCTGAGCTTCACGAGCTACCGGGCAGATGCACAGCGGCCACCTTGGACCCGCTCCGGCGCCCGATGCAACCCACTGGCTACACATCAGTGCCCACTGGGCATCCCGCTCACCTCGCCCACGCCCGAGGGGGGAGGGGAAGGGAGCCCTGTCCTACCCAGCCCGCCGGGGGCGCCACCGTCCGGGTCCGGGTCTGGGGCCCCGGTGTAGGCCCCGCCGTAGGCAGCTTCGTAGCCCGGGTCGTACTGCTCCTCCTTCACGGCCATCTTCTTGGCGTCCTCTGCGGGGGCAAAGCGATGCCTGAATCATCCCCTTAAATGCGATGGGCGCCAGGCCGCACGGGACCCTGGGCGCTGTGAGCCCGCCGCGCTCGGTTTGGGGCGGTGAGCGCTTCCCGGCAGTAGGCCACACTGTACTGCCGGAACCGTGATGACCGCGCGCTGACCGCGAGGCGAGGACACCCCGCCCGCGCACGCTCACCCTGGGCCAGCTGCAGGTCGAAGGTGTAGCGCACTTCCTGCACGTCCGTGTTGCGCTCGAAGCCCCTGAGCTGGTCCCGCAGGTCCTTGAGCTTGATGTAGTAGTGCACCTTGTCCTGGGCGCGGGGGAACTGCGCGCACCGCGCGCTGGACGACGGCATTACGTAGCACAGCTGGGGGCAGGCAGCTCGGGTCAGGGATGGCGCGCCTGTCCCGCGTCCGCTGGGGGCAGCGGCTGCAGGCCGCTTCCAACCCTCCTCCCCGGTGTCAGTCCACCAACAGGCTTTTCCTCTCCAAAGGGAGGAAGGGCAGGGGACTGCGTGGACGTCCCCCGGTGCCCGCCGCCCCCTTTGCCCGGGCCTTTCGGAGGCAGTCAATGCGGTTGGCTGAACTCAGATGCGCAGCAGTGACCTGTGCGCTGCCGACTGGGTGTCAACAACACCTAAGAAGCCAAGCTGAGGCTAAGAATCCGGAGACGCTGCAGACAGGAGCTTGCCAGGTGCTGCTGCGCCTCGTGATGGTCTCGCCCTAAAGCCTGAGGAACCCATATCTTTCTGGTAACATGCTAACCATATCTGAATTTTTAGCTAATAACAGCTGATATATAGATGTCACTTAGTAAAACAGGGTATGGTGTAGTTTAATAGCATACATTGAAATGGATACAGCAATTAAAAGAAAAAAAAAAAAATTCCCACCCAGCTGATTACAAACACAATTTTAAGGACTTACAGTTTCTGTGTCAGGAATCTTGTGGGGTTGAAGCCCAAATTCCAAGTTCTTAACTCTTACTCCAAAAACTTCTCTACTAAAAATTTCATAAATACCTACGACGAAATACAAACATATTTACATTGCTCTAATGTCAGCATGGAAAACAGATCAAATTTAGAAGTAAATCTTACATTTTCCATTAAACACCGCTATGCGTGGCTGATATTTCTGTAATTTCTGTACTAGAATACGTCCTCCTTCACGAAATTCTTTACTAAAATTGAATTAAGAAGTAGTAAAAATATACAAATGTGACAATCTTTGTGATCCACTAAATTCGGGTAGCTTTCAACGAGATCCCATCACGCGTGGGCTGCACTCAGTGCAGAGCCGGCCGGCCATACCTGGAGAGGTCCTTGCTGCCTGGCGTGGTCCTCTCCACCATGTTGGTGAAGCCGATCCCGTACTTCCCAGGCAGGGTGTGGTCGTCCATGTGGTTCAGCTGGACCTCGCTCAGCCCCGACATGAAGAGACACTTCCCTGCGGAGAGAGGTCCATGCGTCTGGTCAGAGAACCTGGGATGCAGTTAGCGCCCCACTCCGAGCTACAGCTGCTTGCTGCGGGAAGCTCCCCCGGCCTCCTTCCTGACAACTGCTCACCCCGGCCACTCGACACAGTGTCACAGACCGATACCTTAACGCCAGAAGGTTTTAAGAGCTCAGACCTCTCTAGAAAACCTTTAATGCAGACAGTGCACTATTATCTCCCAAAGTAAGTTCTCATTGGCTGCCCTGAATGTTTCTCCTGCAACTCCTGGCCATGGTGCCCACGGTTCTGCTGGGCAGTACTGGGGAGGAAAATTTGCCTGGACAATCTGCAGGGGACTGCAGTGGTGACCTTAGGCTCCAAATGCCCCCAGAGCCTGAGCCTTTGCTCCTATTTTCTGCCTGTATGAAGAGTCCGAGATGGCCAGGGGTCAGGGCCCTGACCCTCACCCAGGACAGATCACCAGAAACCTGGGAAGTCAATGTTTGGTCTACACCGGCACACAACACTGCTGCGCCTGTCGCTGTAGGTGATCACTCAAAAACTAATTTTTAAAAATTAGCCAAACTCACAGAAAGCAATTCAAAAGAGGCAGCTGGGGAATAGCTCAGAAGGAAAGCGCTTGCCTGTTGTGAGGCCCGAGGTTCATTCCCCAGTACCAAAATAAACCAATAAAACCACAGTTGGTCAAAACCAGACAGACAGACAGATGACTGCTGCTACAGACAGATGGGGGTGGGCGGGAGGGTTGAGGACTCAGCGCAGGGCCTGCAATGCCAGGCAAGCTCTCTACGCCGAGCTGCATCACATCTTTCTTCTTTCTGTGTGTGCGTGCATGCGTGCACGCGCGCGTGTGTGTGCGTGTGCGTGTGTGTGTGTGTGAGAGACAGGGTCTCATTAAGTTGCCCAGGCTGGCCTCAAGCTTCCATCTGTGCTGCCTTACTCTCCCAAGGAGCAGGGATCACAGGGGTGCACCACCACGTGCGCCAGGACAGCTCATTTAAAAGCAAATGAAGCACTTACAGAAATGGTTTCCAGGTCCAGGGTAATGATGGCCTTTGTAAGCAGCCATGAGGCCTGGATTGATGCCGATCTATGAAACAAAATAATTACACATTTTAGTCTGAAAAAGTAGGGCACAAGCTTTAGCATTTCAGGGAAGGAGCAGCAGACAAAACTAACTGGTGATACAGACACTCTTAATGCAGCATCATCAACATCATCAGATTTACTCTTGGTCAAAAAAATGTATTCTACAAGAAGCACGAGACCAGTCCCGCCTCCCCAGCTGGGGAGAGGGCGTGGGGCATCCTCTAGTCAGCCGCTGCCTCGCCACAGCCTGGTCCCCCTGTCACCTGCACAGGAGCCCAGTTACGGACGGAATCCCTGCTGGGGCAATGGCTGCCACTCGGACCCGTGCAGGCACCACCCAGTCCCACCAGTCCCGATCAGCCAGGGGAACACTGCACTGCCCCGCCGTGCACATCAACCCGGCACCAGGAAGAGCCAGTACTCAGAAAAGTGGGCGGGAGGCAAAGGAGGGGCTCTGCCAGTGCACCCACTATCCGCATACAACGGAACCAGCGTCTACTGCCAACAGTGTTGAAAAGAGGCTGCAAGGAGAAGAGGAGTTAGACCTGCCTGTGTTGGCGGCAGGCAGGCCCTGAAGCCTGGCGCCATCGCACGGTGGCCCCCGCTCAGACAGGAGGGCTCAGACAGGGGCCCGAAGCAAAGCCGACCGGTGGTGCTGCTTATGAAGCAAAGGGAGACCACGTGCTTACAATCACGATGTCCAGGTTGAAGGTCAGGATATCAGGCAGCGTCTTGGTCAGGAGCTCGGCCTCGGACACGCCGTTGAAGCGGTCTACTTTCCGCTTCACCTTGAACGCGTCCGTGATCTTTTCCTGCTTCTCCTTGGACTTGGCCGACTTGCCAGACTTTTTGGACTCGGCGGGCTTCTTGGGTTCGGCGGGTGCTGCGGGTTCCGACGCCCTGGCTTTCCTTTTCCTTCCCCTGCGAGCCTCTGGAAGGAGGGCGTGCAGACCGAGCTATGGAGATGCTGGCCTGGGGACCCTGCGGGCGGCTTCCCAGCAGAGTGACCCTGGGCCGCCCTGCCACCCTGCTCCCTGACCGCCCCTCCCACTCCCACACGGCCTCCTTGGCAGTGTCTCGCCTTGCCCCTGGCAAGAGGGTTTGTTGGGGTCACACCCCCACCCCCATAGTCAGACACATGTTGCCGCATGAGGTTACTGTCACCTCGGCTCCTCGGGACACACAGCATCATGCACTATGCACAGCACATCTAAAGGTAAATGCCTGAGAGATTAAAACAATGATTTCAACTCAGTTTCCAGCAGCAGAAAACCCGAAATGGCTGCTGAGCTTGTCTTGGAGATTTCGGGGTGTGCTGTGTCTACTGAGTGATGCAGAGGTGCTGAGACACACGCTCCGGGCTGGAAGCATCTTCCTCAGGTAAGAGCAGGGCTCCGCCCTCCACGCCCGGCCCGGGCGTCCTAGGTGGCCTCCGCCCGCCCACCGTTGGGTGCCTGGCCCTGCCTGATGTGCCCTGGCTGCAGGGACCCGCTGAGACCCGCTGATCTAGCTACCCGCAGGCTTTCTCACCCTTAACTCTTTTTCTATGACAGGCGCTTGAGATGTAGCACAGAACTTGCAGTCTGGGATGCTGGGGTGCCACGACGCCAGTCTGACCCCGAGTTCCAGCACCCCCTTCTGTGCTTCCCCCACCCCTCTCCTTCACTCCTATCTGGGGATTCCTCCACCAGGACTGGCAGGATGGGCACAGTCTTTCTTCTCTGCTGCATCACGTTACTTCGGTCGCTCCCTATGGGAAGGCCTGGCACCTGCAGTTTGCAGCTGGGGAGCCCCAGTGGCTCCCCGGATGCCTACCCAGACCGACAGAGACAGGCGGAAGCGGCTCAGTGCAGAGGACTCAGGGTGCTCCAGGCCCCTACAGTGAGCTGTGAGCACATTTCTTAATTTTGATTTTCTTCTTCTTTTTTTTTATCAGTACTGGAGATCGAACTCATGACCGCCTGCTTGCAAGGCACGTGCTTATGCCGCTGAGCTAAATCCCCAGCCCCGAGCACGTTTCTTGTAGCAACACTGCTTTGCTGGAGGAAGCCGCCACCTTCTCCGCACCCGCCTCCTCCAACCCTTTGGGGTTCCCTTTGACACAGGGGAGCCCACAACAGGAGCCCAGCCCTCAGGCTGATGGGGCAAGAGCCCCTGGAGGGGACCGTGGGGCCCACACCTCCGGCTTCTTGAGCCCTCCCAGTGTATTCTGCCACTGTGACGCCACCTTGAGGCCTTCATCGCATCCAGCTGGCGCTAAGTGAGCCTCAGCGTACTGTCACAGAGCAGAGTGACAGCTTCTCCCAAGCCCTCGCTCTCCCGGGTCCTGAAGGAAATTCACTCCCATGCTCAGGACACCGCCTCCACGTGCGTCCCACCGCGTCCTCCGCCTGCTCCTGTCACCCTCGCTCCGTCCAGACACTCCAACAGCTCCACGGCCTTGCCTGCTCTCTACACCCGCTGCATCCCTGTATCTCCAGCCTCATTTTCTGGGTAGTTTTGAGTCTGAGGCTGGGTCTTGCTAAGTTTCCCTGGCTGGCCTTGAACTGCTGCTTCAGCCTCCCAAGTGGGGATCTTAGCACCTCCAGTGGCTGCGGCCTGATTTTAAACGCGCTGTCTACATCAGTCATCCCCACGGACACAGGATCTGTCCGGGGCTGCCCTGCGCTACCCCTGGATGTGGAAACCTCGCTTCCTCTCCATCACTGGATCTTGGTGGTCAGTGGAACTGTATGAAGTCCACTGAGGACAATGCAGCACGGTGGATTATGATGGTAACCTGCCCATCCACCCCTTCTGCCCCGGCCTGCACTGGCTAATCAGACAGCGGAGACCCTGGATCTCCGTTCCCAAGAACACTGATGGCCCACAGTGCATCCACCCCCTCCTTTCCTGTCTCTGTGCGCTGTCACTCGGTGACACACTCCCCTGGCTCATGCCCTGAGGCCTTCAGGACAGGATGTGCAGCCCTCCGGGTAACACTCAGCCTCGAGGGTCCGAGGGTCCGGGCAGCCTCTTCTCTTACTGCTCCTCGCTAGGCCCTGGCTCCAGTGTCCCGTCCAGGGTCTTTCACTCCCAGGACTCCTGCCGTGCCCGGCACACACTGACTGCTTGGACAGTGGACGGCGCTGAGGCAGAGCTGCAGGCCTCCCGCAACCTGTTCCCGTGCAGTGGAAAAGCCAGGGCGTCACTGTTCTAGGTTGTCGAGGTGGCCACTACCTTTCGCAGGTTCCTGGTCAGGAGCTGGGGCGGGGGCTTCTGGAGGCATCTGCTGCTCGGCCACCGGGGCTGCCAGGTCAGGAGCCTCAGCCATCACTGGCTGATAGGCGAACGGGTAGAATGCTTGAGCTTGCTCAAGGGAATAGCTGGAAAGACAAGTGGTTCACAGTGATCATCAAATTATCTGAATGGGAGGTTTTGTCTGTTTTTACAATATTAGTGATCAAAGCCACAGGCTGAGCCACATCCCTAGCCTTCTTCAAGCTTTTCTCCTGTTGAAGAAGAGTTCAGGGTGTAGCCCAGGCTGGTCTCAAATGCTCCGTCCTCCTACCCCATCCCCAGTGCAGGGGTTGCAGCTCTGTACACTGGGGCAGCCTAAATGCAAGTTTAAATGGTCAGCTGTAAGATGACTCCCCAGATCCCGATATCCTGTCAGCAGGCTGTAGTATCTACCGAGAGGACGTAATGGTGGAGGAGGTACTAGCTCCTAGGCAAACAGCCTCCCTCTCCCAGTGCTTTAGACAGGACACGGTCCCTGATGACACCAAGTGTCACCCACAACTCCTGCCCGCTGTGTCAAGTCGGCCTGCTTCTGGGGTTTTCTAGTGGACAGACTTGCAAGGCCCGTCCCCCCGGGCGTTAGCCTGTTCAGATGCAATGTGTGTCCCCAGCCTCTGGGATGTAGTTTTCTGTGGAAAGATCCCCTTCAACCTACATCATGGTTTTCTTTTGATGCATTCACCTATTTTCTTATGTACTCACTAGACCTGGCTTTTGTTATTGCTGGCTGTGGTTTGTCACCCAGTGGGGCTAGGAATGATTGTTTTCATAAAAATCTATTCAATTTATGAGAAAAAAATCTCTAAGCTCTTCTGAACACTGTTCAATTCTGTTTAAAGGAAGGAACATGGGGGCCTTAGAAGAAAACCTTCACACGCTGTCCAGTAATTGGGAGTCCTTCCCTTAGGCTGCTGCTGCCAGCCCAAAGCCTGGGCAGTGAACAGAGGAAGAGTCCGGAAGAGGGCGCCATCATCAGGAAGGAAGCTGGACGCATCGAGCACGTAGAAGGCACTGGGCAGCCTGTGTCTGCTGCATGGAGAAAGGTCAGAGGGGCGAGGCCCTGTAGTGAGATGGTTCAGAGACGGGAGCCAGGACACGACCTCAGTATGGGTTGTGCAGGCTTGCATGCTGGATGCTCCAACGGGAGAAAACACGGCTGAGAACCAGTGAGAACAGCACTGATCTGTATCTAGAGAGCCTTACTTTTTGAATACATCATTCTTTTTTTTTCTTTTGGTACAGGGGATCGAACTCCCAACCTAGCACTTGCCAGGCAGGCGCTTGTGCCACTGAGCTAAATCCCTGGCCTTGAATACACCACTCTTAACTTATGCAAAAATTAAGAGACAGGGAGTTAATAAACTACAGTATACTGACATGAGAATACTGGGCTGCTAATAGAAACTGGTCCCACTGATCTAAAAGCACGGGAAAGTTTAATTTTTATTTTATTTTGTTTTGCTTTGTTTTGTTTTTGGTACCGGGAACTGAACTCAGGACCTCAAGTTTACTAGGCAGGTGCTATGTCACTGAAGTCTTAATGTGTCACCCCCACCTCTTAATATATATTTTACAGTAAAAAATAAATAAATAAATATATATATATATATATATATAAAGTAGCACATAAGCTAAAGCTGCACATAGAGAAAATATACAGACATGGGACAGAGGTTAAATGTTTAAAAAATACATTATTTGCCTATTTGACACAGGGTCTCACTATGTAGTTCAGGCCAGCCTCAAACTCACGATGTAGCCTAGATTGGCCTTCAACTTGTGATCCTCCTGCGTCAACTTCCTGAGTGCTAGGATGACAGGTGTGTGCCACTACTAAAATGTTATAGTAAAGGAAAGTGATGAGCTCAGAACTGTGCTCAGCACAAAGCAAAATGCCCTCTTTTTGCAGGATTTTCTTTAGTAGCACTAATAACTCTCTTAAATTGTTGAAACACTGGCTATTCGCTGCTTATGATCTAAATATTCTAAGGAGAACCTGGATACAGTTAAGATCAGACTGCGAGATCTGGAGGAGTGATACTCAGAGGATTCTAATAAAATGACCAGGTGCCTTGACCGTGGACAGTGGCAGTTCTGACACCAGCACTGCGATCACTTTCGGACTGAACACCTAGCAGTGAACCTGACACCCGGTTCCGCTTCAGCCCTGGAACACCCCCAGGTGCTCGTCTGCTCCAAGGCAAGCCTGTGCCTGTGCAAGGTAATGGCAGGGTGTGACAGCGGAAGACGCTGCTAGAAGAGGCCTGGCTGGAAGACCATCACTGGGGACGGGGCCTGGAAGGTCTGTCCCCCTCCAGGACTGCTTCCTGGCTGCTGCGAGAGGGGCATCTGTCCTCCACACCAGGCCACTGCTGCTTGGAGCCTGCCATCCATGCCCTGAAACTTCTGGAACGGTGAGGGGAAATAAACCTCTCGAGTTGCGAGTGTCAGATATTTTGTCCTGGCCGGAGAAAGTGACTAAAGCATGCTCTGGTACCAAGAGGGGGACCACTGTTGAGACCACGTCCAGCCACGTGGTGCAGCAGCCTTCGGCATTGGTTACCAGGAGGAGTCTGGAAGGTGGGAAGATGTCTGCTGGAGAAGCCTTCGCATGCTGTGAGCTGATGATGGAGACTCTGGTCAGAAGTCAGAAGATCAGAAAACAGACAGAAAGGTGGTTGGTCAAGACTGGCTCGGGAGGTTTCAGCTCGGACAGGAATACCATTCAGAGCTGGACTCCAGGCCATGTGGGTTGCGCTCTAGCAGAAAATTTGTCTACATGCTGCCCACATTCTGAGACTTTCTGGAGGACTGAGCTAAAGGGGTGGTGGCCCAATGAACCTAGGAGAGGAAATTTCAAGGCAGCCCAAAGTTCGGGCACGGTATGGATACTTCTGGCTGCTGTCAGTCAGGTTTTACAGTGTGAATCAGGAGCAATGGTAAAACTAAATGATTTTAGGGCTTTGTAGTTTCACCAGAAAGGAAGAGCCAACACGTGGGGCCACAGAGAGTACAGCTTCTGAGATTAACGTTAAAAGAAGCCAATTGCTTTGCCTAAGTGAAACAGGAACGAGACCCTGAGGACATCTCAGGAATCAGCAAGACACTCCGAACCCTACCAAACATGTGCAGCAGTGGAAGACAGCCCAGGGCACTCTGTTGGAGAAAGGCTGCACAGGAAACTGGTTCCCTGGGATCTGAGTCAGTGCCCGGCCATCCAGGCACTTGGAAGCCTCTGTAGCCAAGGTCTAAGAGGGCCTGCTTGGGCTGGTGGCAGACCCTGGCGTGAGCCACATGGGCAAGCACAATGCAAGAACTGTAGGGTCAGGGAGGCTTCCACTCACATTTCAGACGAGGGCCTGGGAGTGTGTGTGGCTGAGTGAAGCCAAAAGCACAGTGGGGACCCAGGAAAGCTGGAGGCAACAGGAGTGGGCTTGTCTCCTGAGGAGAGCCGCACGCAGTCAGGCAGAGGCCAGCCTCAGAGGGAGGTCATGACAACTGCACTGAGCATGCGGCAGCGGCAGGGCTTCCCACGCCTTTGGAACCCACATCCTGCCCCAGCCTGTCCTGGGGTCCTGGACATGAAACTACAAGCTAGTATTTGCCCTGCTGGCTTCCAGCCTTGCTTTTGTCCAGTTCCTTTTCATCCTCCTGTTCTTCCCTCTAGAATGACAATGTTTGTGCTGCGCCAGTGTATGCTCAAAGCGTTTACCTTTGCTTTTTTGATTTTTACACGGGCTCATAGCTAAGAGTTTGCCTCTACTCTTGGAGAAGGCTCGACTTTTCAGCAATGCTGGAACTGTTAACACTTTGGCAAACCTCAGAGACAGACTAAATGCATTTTACATAAAAGATACACATGAGTCCTGAGGGGGCCAGGGCCACAATATTCTGCTTTAGATCTAGAATGACCCCCAAAACTCCCATGCACTCATGGGGTGCAGGTGGGGCTCTCTGAATGTGATCCTATCATGGGGGTGCTGTGGCTAAACAGTGCCACACCAGGAGAGCCTGGTATGCAGCGACAGACCACCGGGGCGTAACTTAGAAGGTGGTTCTCTGCCCGGGCTCCTCTCTTCTCTTTCCTCCTGCCTGGCTGCCCGGATGTGGACAGTCCTCCACCTCAGACCCTTCTGCATGCCGTTTCTGTGTGCCAGTCAGCACTGAAACATCTAACATTGTGACACAAAGCAAACCTCTCCCCCTCTCCCTTTAAGTTGTGGGTGGCAGCTACTTTGTCCCAGCGATGATAAAGTGACTAAGATATACTTGTGTTTTGCAGTTCTGGGGATCGAAGCCATGGCTTACCCACACCTCATGTGATCACAATAAATGAATGACCTGAAGAACACAGTAGGTTCGCCAGTCTGTCACTGTCACATGGTCAGGAAGGCAACGCACCTGCTGCTAACCCACATTTCACACTAACATTCTCAGTGCCACTTAGAGCACCTGACAAAACCCAGTCCACACTGAGACAGCACTCACATTATAAAAGGCTTCTTCACTTTTAAAACTGTCACCTGAAATGTGGTTCCTTAATATAGCTAGGGGCCATTTAAGTATCTTTTGAAAGTCTGGAACTCAGAAACTAAAAATTAAATCCTAGAAGTCACTGTTGGCAATTAAGAAGTGAAAAATAAACAACAAAAATAATCTGACCTGCTATCTCAGAGACATGTATCATCCTTCAAAAAACCCAGAAACCTATCTATGACAATACATTCCTTCTCTACAAATGATCTGTGGCAATTTATAATACAGCACAGGGTTTATATGCAGATGCCCCAAGATCCTCAAGCACTCCGGGGTGGGGCTTGGGGAGGACTGGACAGTGGAGGCTCCAGTTAACTGTGTGCTGGCAGGCAAGGCCAGGGGTGGGTGGGGGGACAGTGCTTATTCTCATTCTTCAGGTTGCTGACCTGCTGTTTACAGCTTCTCAAGAACTGGCATTATCTGGATTTTTTGTTTTGCTTTTTGAGATGGGGCCTCACCCACCTGGCTTAGAACTCATGGCAATCTTCCTGCCTCAGGTTCCTGAGTGCTGAGGTTACAGGTGTGCACCACCACATCTGGTTTAGGACTGCTGTAATTGGCCTTCTCCTGAAATACGGGGAGGACCTGAAGTTCTCTGAGTGGCCCTCACTGATCTTGAGCAGTCACGCGCCAGCAAGGCCAACTCCATCTGTGTTCTCCATGGTCTATCATGCTTTTCCAGTCACCACTTTTTTTTTTTTTTTTTTTTTTTTTTTTTTTTTTTTTTGGTACTGGGGATTAAACTCATGAGTTTGCACTTGCCAGGCAGGCAGGCGCTTACACCACTGAGCTAAATCCTCAGCCCTTGCAGTCCCTTCTGATCTGCCATCCTATCTTCCTATCTTGCATCTTTTACTTTTTCATTTGTTTGTTTTTGTCTTTTAAGACAGGGTCTTGCTGTAGAGTTCAGACTGACGGTGAGCTCACTGTGTAGCCCAGGCTGGTCTCGAACTTGCAACAATCCTCCTGCCTCGGCCTCCCGAGTGCTGGGATGACAGGCGTGAGCCACCATGCTCAGCACACCTTTTACTTTTACAAAATCCTTTTCATGCTTGAGGTCACTGGACATGTACGGGGTGTTTTACTTGATTTCTCCTTTTTTCTCTGGTTTATTGGACTGTAAACACAGTTTAAGACTCTTGAACTATGTAGTTTCCCATCTAAAAACAGTCTACACCCACGGAATATTTTTTCTTTGAATGGTTTGACACTTGCTTTCCAAATAACAAGTAAACTACACCCAGCATTCCATTAACTTATCAGACCAAAGTCAAGGGTAACCGAGACCACCTTCCGAGGGCTACTTAGTATTGGAGTCATTTCAGAACCCCCAAAGATAAAGTCTTTGAATATTATGCAAAATTTTCCACATTTTCTGAAGGCAAAGCTCTGCAAGTCTGATGCATGAAGACATATACATACAGCCAGAGCTTTGAGCAGAACCACAGAAGCCATTTTGTTGAACAAGGCATTATATTGTGTAATTCACCTGATGATAGGCTTTGGTTGGTTCCAGTTCTCATGTGATGCAAGAGAACAAATGGGAGAGAGATTTTTACAAGGTCTGGTGAATTTCTCATTTGCAAAGTACTTCTAAGAAAGAAGCAGAGAATTGTATTCCAGAATTGGGTCACCATAACACAAGAGAAAAGGGCAAGCTTAGGTATGGTGATTTATTACTAAACTTTAAAGGCCACTTATTTTGCTTATTTTGGTGTGCTGCTCCTGGCCTGGGGATATTACTCAGAGGTAGGGCACTTGCCTAGGCCTGTGTGAAGCCCTGGCTTGAATCTTCACATGTTAAAAGTCAAACCAAACCAAACCAACCCCAAAACTCCACACCACCAGTTTCAGGACTGCAGACCCTCCTTTTACAGACCCTCCTTTTACAAACTGTCCTGAAAGTTCAGCAACCCATCAGACACCGAAAGAATAATTCTTCATTAGGATTAACAGTGTTTTTATTTCAATGGAAATGACTATATACCTTTTCCTTTTAAAGATTCAGTCACCTTATTTTTCTAGTTTAGCTTTCTGTCAATAATTCAAATCTACTTTTTCAGAACTTCTCTGACTTACCTAACCCTCTCGAAATACATTTTTGAAACGATCGTCTCGAGGCCACTGGAAACCTCAGCCAATTTTGAAATCACTCCTTGACAGCGTCATACCCATCCCCATCGCCGCAGTACGTGACCCTCAGCGTTGCTTTTAGTTAAGACCGCGGAGGAAAGCATCGCACATGGACTAACTGTAACAGGACAGCTGGAGGTGGTCCCTCGACCCGGCTCTCTGCATGGCCGGAATCACCGGGGTGGCCGGTCGCTTAGGCGAAATCGAAACCAGGCACAGATGCAGGGAAAGCCGCCCGGGCCCCGGTAGCCGGCGGCTCCCGCCCGCGCAGACCCGCAGCGCGCACGCGCGGCAGGCCTTTGTGCTCAGACCCCCGCCCGCCATTGCCCGCCGCGGGGTCGGGGAGGGGGAGGCGGGAGAGGGAGGACGAGAGGGGCCGGTGAGGGCGGTGCCGCGTTACCTGCCCGCGGCCTCCGCTTCCATGCCCAGGCCGCGCGGGCGGCTGGTCCCCCCGTGCCCACGGCCGTTGGCCTCAGCGTCCCGGCAGTCCCGCACGGCGACAAGGGGACACCGGAGACTTTAGCCCGATGGCCGCCGTGGGAGACCGCGCTAACCCCTCCCGCTGGACCGGCTTCCGCGCGGCACTTCCGCTGCCCGGCCGTCACGTGACGCGCCCGCCCAATCGCGTGCCCCCGCGGGGCGCCTCTCCGCCGCGCGGCCTGTCGGGAAGGGGCGAGACCCGCGAGTCCCGGCTGCGCGCGTGGCCCTGCGCTCTGGGCGGCCGTGGTGTGTTATTCAGAGGTTTTTGCCTCAAATCTTCTCCCGATTAAAAACTGTTCATTAATCACCAGCCACGGTGATGGGGGTGCGTGGGGAGCCCCGAGGCCACGGCATGCGATGGGCCCGTTTCCAAACCCCACTTTTATTTCATGGTTCTTACAGTGGGGTGTGTGTGTGTGTGTGTGTGTGTGTGTGCGCGCACGCGTGTGTGTAGCTTTTGGATTTTGTTTTTGTGGTTCCGGGGCATTGAACCCAGGGGGACTGTACCCCTGAGCTACAACTCTGTCCTTTGTATTTATTTGAGACAGGACTCTAATTTGCCCAGGTGGGGCTGCACCTTGGGATTCTTGATCTTGTGATCTTCCTGCATCAGCCTCCATAGTGCTGGTGTTACAGGGATGCGCCACCACACAGCGTATGTGGGTTTTCACCTCTCAGTTTCTGTCACTGGTGATTGTGCAATGACTTCATCAGATAACTCTCCAGAGACAAGCGTCTTTGTCTCTTTAGTTTACGTGACGAAAAACGTGGCAGTCTTAGCCTTCCCCCGTAAGTGCCAGTGCTGTTAAATCCAGACCTCCCTGGCTCAGGAGCAAAGGGTTATTTTCACTCATGGGACACGCGACCTGGGAGAAGGCTGGTGCTCTGTGTCACTGTTATTCTAAGATCCAAGAACTTTCACAAGTACAGAAAGGTAGGTTAGTTTGCATTGTATTGTTGGAAATATAAATGAAGCAGTATTTCAGGGTTTTGTTTTTTGAGAGAGGGCCTTAAATTCAATATGTAGCCCAGGCTGGCTTCCAGTGCAGTCCTGTCTTAGCTTCTCTAGTGCTGGGATTGCAGGTGTGCACCATCACACCTGGTAGAATGATATTTTAGGGTTGTTTGTTGGTTTTTGTTGCGCTTTGGTACCCGGGTTCAAACTCACAACCTCATGCTTGCCAGGCAGGTGCTTAGGCCACTGAGCTAAATTCCTGGCCCAGAACGATATTAAAACGTTACAGAACTCTTAAGAACACTCTGTCCATTAGAGAGGTGTCCAGTGAATATCTGCTCAATGAATAAACAAAAGCCCATCCTATCCTCTGATTTCATTAGGACTCAGGACCACAGCCTGCGAAAGTTCCAAAAGCAGGTAGATTGCTGTGGTTACTCTGCAGAGAGCCTTCTGGTGACTGAAATGTGTGGAGAGCTCCTGACTCCTTCCTGGGGAACCCTGGGCAGCAAGGACCCCCTACCCAACCAGGGAATGCTGGTCTCTGGGTCCCCCCAGCTCCATGCATTAAACCAGGGTCCTCTGCTCAGTTGGGCCGCTAAAGAAAGCTTAAGGGACAGTGATCCTGGGAAGGGGGACACAGTTGAAGCCTTGATCTGCTGTTTCCAGAAAGCCTGAAAGAAGGGAGCCCAAATGAGCCTCTGCTCCGAGAAGCTGTTGGTGGGCGAAGCTGTTGGTAGGAGCAAAGGTGAAGGGAGCCCCCAGAGGGGCGGTCACTTTCCCTGTCCCCTCTTCCTCCCAATGCTAATGCGCTCTGCCTTCGGGGAAGCAGGGGCTGGCTTCCTTCTTAGCTGACCCAAGACATCAACAAGGTTGGATTTCAGACAGGGCTTTTTGTGCTGTGGGTTTTCGTTCACAAGTGGCTGCCAGTGTCCTCATTGATAGGGAACCTCAGAGACTAACAGCTCAGAGCACTGAGGAGAACAGGAGACCTTGGTCATACTGCCGGCAGCCATGACAGTTGAACATGTGCCCTGGGCCGCCCTAGGTCCTTGGCACAGGTGAATGCACTTAAACCCCGGAATAACTGCATGAGCCAAGTGTCACGTCTTAGCCCTTCAGGTGCCAAAACAAAACCTGAAAACTTGCTTTCCACAGCTCTGGGGGCTGGAGGCCCCCTGTCGGGGCACTGGTGGAGGCCCTGTGTCCTGGTGTGAGGATATATGTACCTGTTAGCGGGCATCTTTGCTCGAACAGGAGGGAGCTCTCTGGGACTCTGTTACAAGGGCTGTGCCCTCAGGATCTAATCTGCTCACGACTTCACCCAACGCGATCACACTGGTGACCAGGTTCCAGTACATGAACAGGAGATAAGTATTACACCATTTTACAGTTGGGGTCCAAAGGAGAACTCCCTCCTGCTCCAGGGGACTCCAGTCCTTTCCTGTCTGCACACCTTCAGCAGACTCCAGGAAGCCCACCCACATAATGGAGAACAAACCACTTTATCCAAGTACATACACTTAAATGTCCTGGGTGGCATGCCTAGCGAAGCTAGTGCATAAAATTAACCATCAAAGTAGCCATTATTATGTGCATTTTACAAAGAAATTAGACTAGTATGGCATGACTGTAATCCCAGCATTCAGGAAGCTGAGGCAGGAGGATCACTGTGAAGTCAGCCTGGGCTGCACAGTGAGTTCGAAGCCAGCCTGGGCCACAAAAAAAACTCCAGTTAGGTTATCTCATGAATTCTATCTGACATTTGAGGAAGGAATAAAGCCAAAACTTTTAAGAAAACAACCTTCAAAAAACTGGGCAGAATATTTGAATCTATGCTTCACCAATGCAACTGTAAGGGCATGAAAGCCTATTGTTCATTCTAATTTCTTTACATGGTGCAAGGTATGTGTTCAAGCCTTTTTTGTTTTGTTTTTGCAAATGGACATGAGTCCTTAATCATGATTGAAATACAAATTAAAACCAAAATGAGAGAAAGTATATACCTATTAGAATCGTTAAAAACGACTGACCATTGCAAGTGTTGGAGAAAAACAGAGGAACTGGAACTCTCATACATTGCTAGTGGGAATATCCAAATTGTACAACTACTCTGGAAAAGTTTGTTAATTAAAAAAATATGTATACATATATACACCTACCACAGGCACCGGATGTTCACTTAGGTGTATACCCAGTAGGAGAGGGAGCCCCTGTTCACAGAAGACTTGTGTACAAGGCTTCCTCACCTCGTGCTCTTCTCAGCAGCTTTCTTCCCATTAACCAACTGGAAGCCACCAAAACCCACCAGGAAGTAAAGGGAACAGCCAACTGGAGATATAAACATATTTAGCAATAAAAGAGAGTCGACTACTGGTACAAGCAACAAAGTGGATGAATCTCAAAAAAGCGCGAAAAATAAACCAGACCAAAAAACAGTACAGAGTGTTTTATTCCATTTCTATACAGCACTCTATAATATGGAAACGTGACAGAGAGCAGCTCTGTGATTACCTAGGGAATGAAGCAGTGTGGGAAGCATTAGAAAGAAGCACAAAGAAACTTTTAGGGTGATGGGTATGCTCATTACCTACACTGTGGGAATGGTTTCATGTGCACGCAGAACGAACTGCATCAAAAGGATACTCTGTGAGAATTTATTATGTGTCAAATACATCTCTGTACAATTATTTTTAAAATGCAGGAACCATGATTTGTGTTACACATAAAAAAATTAATGCTTTAGAATTCATTTTTGCACTAACATTGCTTAACAAAACTCACTGTCTAAAAATTCATGTTAAGCCGGAGATTTAGCTCAGCGGCATAAACACCTGCCTGGCAAGCGCAAGGTCCTGAGTTCGATTCCCAGTACCACCAACAACAAAAAACCCACTCATAAAAATCCAGGTAACTAGGTCACGTTGACTGCTGGTGTCTTCTCCAGCAGCAGCAGCAGCAGCAGCAGCAGCAGCAGCAGCAGCAGCAGCAGCGCACGAGGACACCACTGCCTGGGCATGGCGCTGTGTCAGGTAGCAGAAGACGCCAAGAACCCGGAAAGTGAGCGCGGTTAACCCCACTCGCTGGCGGTGACCTCACCCAAGTGTCAAACTCCTAAGAGAGGCAAAGGCGCACGGTTTCCCCTGTGCGCGCAGCAGGATAAACTGATGCGGAAATGCAGGCTCGAGCCTGGGACACCCCACCTGTCAAGGAAACCCCACGATAGTTTGGGGATAGTGACAAGGGGCGGCCAAGGATGTGAAAATCGATAAAAAATGAACAACGGCTCCTTCGTGCCCCAGCCCCACTTCCGCCCGGGCGTGTGAGTGCGTCTGAGCCTGCGCCTGCGCCTGCGCCCGCGGTACCCGCGCATTCCCCTCCGGCGCGCCGCTGGTGCCTCCCTTTTGGGGGTCCGGTGCAGCCGAGGACCGTCCCGCAGCCGACCATGCCCGCGGGCGTGCCCTGGCCCACCTACCTGAAGATGTTCGCCGCCAGCCTCCTGGCCATGTGCGCGGGCGCCGAGGCGGTGCACAGGTACTACCGCCCCGACCTGGTGAGTGGGCTGGGGCCGGGGAGCGGGGTCACGGCGGCCCGGGCGGCCTCTCCGCCTGTGCCGCTCTGTGCCCCTGTCCAGGCCGCGTCCCGCCTAACGCTACCTCGGGGCAGCTCTTGAGCCGTGCCGTCCCCCGGTGTGGCCTGCGCTTGCTGTCCTCTCCCTAACTTCCGGCGGGGCCGGAAGTGGCTGCGCGAGCCCGGTTTCCCGGGCCCTGGGCTCCTGCTGCGGGCTCCTCGCGCTGGCCTGCCGAGGTCGCCGGTCGCAGCGCGCAGTCGTGTGCGCCGGTGCTTGGGCTTTGCTCCGCTGGAACGCAAGCTCCACAAGAGACCGTTTGGTGTCGGGCGTGGAGGCGCACGCCTGTCATCCCAGTACTTGGGAGGCTGAGGCAGGAGGTCACTTGCGAGTTCAAGACTAGCCAGGACTGCAAAGACAGCTCAAGGCCAGCTTGCATTGCATAGTGAGACTGTCTAAAAAAGAAAATAATTATAAAAAAAGGAAGAGAGTTTGGCGTGGCGGAGGTGATCGGCAAATGTGCAGGATGAAAAGCAAATAAAGACCGTCATGGAACGGAGAAATTTAAGTCGATGGTAACAAGCGTTTATTAAATCAGGAACTGGAGATCGAGGGAGGCGGGGACGAGAAAGTATAGTGTAGATCATCGCCAGAGAGTGTGCTAAATGTCACGCTGTGTGCAGATGTGGTGGTTTGCTGCCGGACTCTCCCTGGAGGACTGCCTGGACGGGGTGACATTTAGTCAGCCAACAATGTGTTGGAACTAATTAATTGCAGCTGATTTTCACCACAGTTGGGAAGTATTTATCCCTGTTGTCAAGTGAGGAGACAGAGGTTCACAAAAGTGAAGGAAGAGACTCAAAGCCATAACTTAGGTAAGCCTAACTTTTTTTTTTGGTTCTGGGAATCGAACTCAGGACCGTGTGCATGCCAGGCAGATGCTGTGCCACTGAGCTACATCCCTGACCCCAAAGTCATAGCTCAAATGAGGCAGTGATTAAGGATCTGATACTCAAGCTGTTCGGTGTTTCTGTTTTTTATTTGTATTAATGAATCACACCGTACCTCTGTAAAATACCCATTTGAGTTGAGGGGTGTGCGTTGAGTAAACAACCCCCCCCATCACCCTTCTTTTTTTTTGTCACCACCACTTGTTGGTGGGTGTGTACACACACTCACGAAACACAAGCACAGGTTTTGTTTCTTTCTGCTGCGATCTAGCGATTGGACCCAGGGCCTTGCATGTGGCGCCCGCACCATGTGCCCCCTCAGCTCCTGTATGCTGAAATGCAGATACTCCCTGTGTGGTATGTATTCCAGATGCCATTTGCTCAGTCCCTGTTGGCATCACATGCAGTCCCTACAACCCGCGCTGCCCAGGCTCCTGCTTCCCGCTGCAGAACGCCTCTTTGCAGAGCTGCGGTGAAGCACGGAGAGGCTTCATGGGGAAGAAGGTGACAGTAGTTTCCGTAGAAGCACGGTTTGTTTGATCTCCCTTACATGGGAAGAGCCCCCGGCAGTTCTCACAAAGGAAGGAAAGCGTGAACTTGACCCTGGAGGTTGGCTTGGCTCCCATCTTGTTGTCATTGGTGTCCACCCTGCAGAGCGGGCATCTGCAGGGTCCAGGCCACCTCCGACTGACGGGCTCCTCTCTGGGTGTTTAACGGCCAGGAGGGGAAGCGGGGTTAGGGTGCCACCTGCCTTTAAAGGCCAGGAGGGGAAGTGGGGTTAGGGTGCCACCTGCCCACTCACCCCAAAAGCGCTTCCATTCTTTGCCTGGTCTTGGGAATCGGCCTGGCTGTGCTGCTAGTACTCTTGACTCCTAGCAAAACCTTGTAGTCTGACAGCTAAAGTTTGGGGTGCAGCTCAGTATTGAGACCCTGATGGCCCCGGGGGCCGCGTCCTGAGAGCTTGCTTCCCACTGTCCTGCATGGTGCACCCCAAGAGCCGAGGAGGTGGCTCGTTTCTTTTTTTTTTTTTTTGGTCTTTTTCCTTTTTATCGGTACCAGGGATTGAACTCACGACTGCCTGCTTGCAAGGCAGGTGCTTATGCCGCTGAGCTAAATCCCCAGCCCCATGAGCTAAATCCCCAGCCCCTGAGCTAAATCCCCAGCCCCGGTGGCTCGTTTCTTTCAAGTTGTTTAGGCTGTAACTCGGGTGCCATAACACTCTTACAGGACTGTGGGATTCATCTGAACACTATGCCACGCCTGCACCACTTGTCACCCTTCTGTTGCTTCCCCCGTGGCCGGGCCTCTCTCCTCCGCCCTCCCCTTCCTGCAGCGTCTTCTCAGCAAGCCACTGTTGTCACCTTTATTTTGAGACAGGGTGCTGCTGTGTAGTCCGGGCTGGCCTTGAACTCATTACGCAGCCCAGGCTGGCTTTTGAACTTGTGGCAGTCCTCCTGCCTCAGCCTCCCGGCTGCTGAAACGACAGGTACGCACCACCACACCTGGCTCAGGTCGTGCCACTTCTCAGAGCTGTCTGGAGTGACAGGTGCTGGACGTCCGATGCCCGCCCTTGGTCCCCTCCTCCCTCCTGAGGAACATGCGACAGCCTGGCCTTCCTTGGGAAGGCAGAACCCCGGCTGGCTTCTCTGCAGGTGGGCTTCTGCCTCGTCCACTCTGGGAGAGCTGCACAAACACCGCTGTCGTCTTCCCTCCCGGCCTTGTTCAGAGGTCACCAAGAAGCACAAGAAAGGCCGCTCTGTGTCAGTGGGCATCAGAGAAGTGGAGATCAAAGCCACAGCCAGAGACCACTTCCTGCCCCCCGTGTGGCTGTCGTAGATTGGGCAGCAGAGGTGTCCAGGGCACGTGGAGGCATTCCTACCCCCGGGCATCCCTGGAGAAGTGGCCAGAGGTGACTGCTTTGGAACACACTGGCAGCACCTCCTGTGGGCATTGCGGGACCCAGCGGTTCCAGTTGTAGTTTGTACCCAGCAGACACACAAACCTGTGTCCACTGGAAAACTTAACACAAAGGTAGAGCCAAAGGGTTGATGTAATCCACATGCCTGTTGGCTGATGAATGCATCCATAAAGCATGGTATGTCAGCGCATTGGATTTTATTTAGCAAGGAAAAGAAGCGATGTACAGGTGGATGGCACAGTGTGGCTGGACCTGAAAACATTCAGCTATGTGGAAGGACCCAGTCACAAAGGACCCTTTGTATGCTGCCTCTCCTGTGAGACACCAAAAAGCTGGGTGTGGTGGCACGCGCTTGTAACCTAGTACTCGGGAGGCTGAGGCGGGAGGATCACTGTGAGATCAAGGTCAGCCCGAACTACATACACACTGAGGCTTGTTTCAAGCAAAACAAAACAAAGCAACAGCCAGAACAGGTAAATCTGGAGACGAGACGTTCCAGGGGGCTGGGCATTTGGCTCAGCGGCACAGTGCCTGCCTGTCAGGTGTGAAGTCGTGAGTTCCATCCCCAGTATCAAAAAGAGTTCTGGCGGCCGTGGGGAGGGCTGCCTTGAGATGGGGTGATGCTGCTGGGCGTGGAGCTTCCTTACGCTGGTGGGAATGTTCTGAAACGTACTGTGGTGACTCACAGATACGCGACTGTGTCATACTGAAAACCACTTAACTGTACACTTTTCTCGCGTGGGCCTCATGTGCGCTGGGCAGGTAGTCTACCCCAGAGCTGCGTCCCCAGCCCCAAATTGTATCTCTTTTGTGGGGCAGTACTGAGAACCAACCACGCTCCTTCACACTGGGTTCTCTCTTTAGCCCCTATTTCTTTTCAAATTGAGACAGGGTTTTGCTCCGTCTCCATAACTTGTCCAGGCTGGCCTTGAACTTGAAATCCCCCTGCTTCAGCCTCCCATAGTCCGGAATTACAGGCACATGCCTGCAATCAGCTCTCACTTGTACGATTCAAATGGGAAAATGGCATAGTATGTGAATTATTTCGGAATAAAATCATTACGAAGAAAAGTCATCACAAAAAAAGAAACTCATCTGCTGCCTTTCCTGTCCACTTTCCTGGAAGACCAGGCCGCAGTGGTTTTGCCATTGTCCAGTGGTGCATCCCGCAGTGCGGGGCGGTAGGACCCTGGACTCGGGGTGGGCAGGGGCCTTCGATCCTGCAGCGGTTCTCCTGGGAGAGCCTGGCTGTGGAGCAGGAGCAGGACTCGTCCCGTCACGGTGAGTGAGGGTCTGACACAGCGCGGCGTCTTAGTGTTTTGTTTCTGTTTCTTTCCTAGACGATACCTGAAATTCCACCGAAGCCCGGGGAGCTCAGAACAGAGCTTTTGGGACTGAAAGAGCCGAAACATGAACCTCGGGTTTCCCAGCAATAGGAAGTGCCCAGTACCGCACTGGCAGGGGCCCCGTGCATGGGTCTTGTTTAATAATTTATTGAATCCAACTCCTGGTCCTTCAGCATCCGAATCCGTTACTGTGGGAAGAGACGCTGCAGAGGCCCTTGCTGAGAGGGTGAAGTTTGTGACGCTTTGACCGCTGTCTCTTGAAAACTGCCGAGTTGTATATTCCGAGCTTCTTAATGTGATTTGGAAGATACCGAATAGCCTGTGAAACAGAGCATTTTCACTGTCTCCTGCTATTACAGTTCTGGCTGTTTCTCTGAGTATTCTTGGCTCTCGTAGCCAGTGGGAATTATAAATGCAATAAACAGTGATGTTTGCAATGAGTGCTTGTAGTGTCTAAGTTAATACTTCTCTAAATGTTAGTACTATTCATACTAAACTATTCATAAACACTAAACTGTGTTAAGTGAAAATGTTTGCAGTTTGAGGTTCTTTTGGAAGTGTGTAGATAACCAAATTATAACATTTGCAACTTGGCCAGAAGGTCTTTAGCCTTCACATCTGAGAAATTATTTAAGTCTGAGAAATCAAATTAAAAGTTTTCTCGGAGAGAACTTCCGGGATGGTGGCGGAGCGGTAAGCAGCACAGAAAGCCTCTCCGAGAGTCCCGGGCAGAGGCTGGAATATTGCAACGCCAGGAAGATGAGGAGGGAAGTGGGTCCCCTGACCCAGGCAGGATCTGAAGCGGGAATCGGAGCCCACTGAGAGTGAAGAGAAAGCCTTCAGCAAAGACAGAAGAAGTACCCAGCAGCGCCTTCTCCCCGAGACAGGGCCCACTGTGCGAGAGGTGTGGTTCAAACCTGTGGACACACGGTGACTGCTGGTGACCCCAGAGGCCTCTGCAGAGACGCAGCGGTAGAGGGGAACAGTGGGGGTGAGGTACTGCACTAGCTGGCTGTGAGTGCTGGGGGCTCAGTCCTCCGGAGAGAGAGACCGATTGGCCGGGAGCCATCTAGCAAGGGTCAGCTGAGCTCAGAACTCAGGGCTGCTGTGGCTCCGTCCAGCAGCTCCCAGCCGAGTTCAAGCCTGCAGAGGTGCGCGATGGCCGCAGGCTGGGTGGGTCTGATCTCGGCCCCTACAGCCGGAATCCAGCCTGAACTTCAGGAGAAACAAAGGTGCGGGCTCGTGAGATGATCCGCTGCCCCACCGCGGAGCGGCTGCTGGCTTGCTGGCGAGTCCACCCGATTGGGGCTCTACACCCTGCCTACTGGTGACAGCCAAGGCAAACCTGGAAGTGGACTTTTTTCCTCTCGTGTTTTTGTGTTTCTTCGTTTTCTCCTTCATGTTTGATCCGGTTTTCATGAGTGTGAACGTGGTTTTATTTCTCCTCCGCCCTCCCTCCTGTCTTCTGCAGCAGCCTCCCAGTGTTGGGGTGATCCCAGTCTGTCCTCCAGCCTTAGGCCCAAGCTCTTCCTCTTCTGCTTCTCTACGGGTCCTCGGCCCTTTGAAATTTTCACCCCTGAGGGTAAAATTGACATTAAAGACTGACTTACTGCATATAATTCTCGTTTGTTCTAGATTTCTGTAACTGCAAATCTAGTCCATGTGGGTTGAAGGCGGTGTATCAGCGATTACCCCAGTTTGTCACTTTCTAGGCTGTGTTGCATGCTGTTGTTACAGCTAAGGCGGTTACCACCTTTGCCGAAGTAACATGATTGTTCTAACCAGTTGTTCTGCCTGCTACCCTAAGATTGCCGAAGGTCATAGAGAATACCGTGAGCCACGACCAACAGGCAGCAGATTCTCAAAGGGTGTATTATAAAATAACTGAAAAAGGTCATGAGTATGTTAGGGGTTGAATTTTGTGCCCACGCCGGCGTGGAAGTCCTAACTCGAGTACCCTGGATGTGGCCTTATTTGGAAGTAAAGTCTGTTGACCTAACCAGGTTAAGATGAGGTCACCAGGTGGCCCTGACCCAACAGGACTGCTGTCTTTAATAGGAAGAAAACACCGCATAAAGTCTTGATGAAGGGCCGGGGATATGGCTCAGTGGCACAGTCCTGCCTGGCAAGTGCCAGGTCATGAGTTGATTCCTGGTACCGAAGAAGACTCAGACACAGGAGATTGTCCCTGGGTGCAGGGAGGTTTCCACCCACGGTCACAGGGCACGGCCTAGCACTGGAGGTAAAGGTTCCGGCCCCCAGAGCTAGGGCTAATGCCCTTCTGCTCTAAGCTTCCTAGTTCTTGGTGATTTGTTCTGGCTGTCCTGGAAACTACCATGAAAATTTCCTTTTCGAGTCCATAAAAAGATCCTGTGTAGGCCGAGTGCTTCTCTTCCGGCTGTCGTTCCCTAAGTTTCTCAGGTTCTGTCCTTTTCTTGAGGCAGGACCTTGTTATGTAATTAAAGCCGGCCTTGAACTCTGTATCCCAGGCCACCTTTGAACTCACAGTGAGCCTCCTGCCTCAGCCTCCTGAGTGCTGCTACCTCAGGCATGTGCCACCCGTGCTCCAGAATTCTGTTCTCTTACCTTTTTTTCTGTTTGTTGTTTTTTGAGACAGTGTCTCACTAGGTAGTTCAGGCTGGCCTTGAAATTGTGAGTATCCTCCTGCCTCAGCTTCCTGACTGCTGGGATCACTGGCTTGTGCCACCACGCCCAGCAGCATTCTGTATTCTTAATGATGACACCTTCTCAGCTAGTGAGCCAGCCGCTGCATGCCAGGGCTCTTCCTGGCCTTGGCTGAAGTCTTAAGTAGTGTATCTGCGCTTCCTTTCCTCCACTGTCGTCATCTGGGACCTCAGCAGACGCTTCGGCACCGGGAGGACCTTGGGTCCTGCAGGAGACAGGTGAGGGAGAGCCACCCTGCAGGAGCCGTGGGATTCTGAGGTCAAAGCCTTGACCTGTGCGGTGCTGCTTTACTCGCTGAGACTTCTCCGGTTAGATTTCAGGGCTGCTATTAAAAAGAAAAACTCAACTATGTACTTCAGAAATAGTGAAGTTCGCCATGACTAGCAACTGTAAGGGCTTTATCTGAGCAAAAGTTTGAGACCTTTTTGTCTTGGTTACTTTTCTGACTGCTGAGATAACATACCGGGCACCTGAAGTCAAATGGGGGAGAGGTTTATTTTAGTTCGCAGTTTGTAGAGGTCTCAGCCCATAATCAGCTGGCTCCGGGGTGGGTGGCCCAGGGCACTGTGGAGAAAACAGTCCACGCAGGGTAAGCGGGCAGCGACGGGCCTGCCTTCCAGGGTGCCCACCTTTGGGTAGGTCCCAGGAGGGGCACCCTTGATCCCAGCGCCACAGTCTAATCCAGCGGCCTTGGAAGAGGCCTGCAGGACCTCATTTAAGGCTTTGGGGGAGAAACTAGATACAAGTCATAATAATTCCTGGATTTTATTTTTGATACCAGGAATTGAACTCAAGACCTCATGCTTGCCAGGCAAGCACTGTGCCCCTGAGCTGGATCCCCGGCCCAAAACATTTTTAAAGTTAAAATAATTCAAGAATGCATTATGGTATACTAATTCAAGAATTCAAACCTAGGTGTTTAACTTCTAAGAATCTGCAGATTTCAGGGAGGGTATTATGTAAGTTATTGAGGTGGAAAAGCTAATTTCACCCACTGACTTAAGGGGAGCTCTTGGGCTCCCTGTTCAGCTGCTCTTCAAATTCCATTTTCCGGGGACTTCAGTAGTCACAGTAGGCGCTGGTGAGCGTGGCCAGCACATCCGCAGACATAGTGGAGTCGGCCTTGGCCCCATGGTGCAGCCTATGCACTGTAGGTGGCTTCGGGGGGCTGCTTGATAGCACCCCACCTTCCTTCATAGGCTGTGGAAGTCATGGCTTGACCCACCGTGCTTCCCGACAGTGACTTCATGACGATGAATGTTTAATTTTATGGAATTGAACACAGAATTTATCTAAAATGTTATTTTGGGCGGTGCTGGTTCTGATTGCGTCTCCTCCCCTTGTGAAGTTGCCCTACTGGAAGCCGAGGCTGTGCTGGGTGTAGGAGTGCACCCCATGAGTCCCCAAGGAGGGGCTGTCACCTCTTGCAAGGATTGCCTCAGCCAGGGGCCTTGCTTGGAGCCACTGCTCCCCAAGGATCCTGGTGCTGAGCACCTGGGGCAGCAGGACTGCAGGTTCCAGGCCCAGCATGGCCATTCAGCCCCTGCGGTGAGACCCGTCTCAGTGCGTGGGTTTCCCGAAGAGCTGCATGTGAACCCCGGACGCGATTGGACGGGGGTGCCGCTCGGGGGCAGAGTGCTGGCTTTGTAAAAGGGAGGCCCCGCGTTTGAGCTCCAGCTCCAGCTTTGCCAAAGTGAAGAACGTTTGACTCTTCGGTAGAAGGTCTCGATGTGTGGGGGCCTAGAACTCAGTGATGCTGTCAGGGTCCCCAGTGCTGAGATGACGCGTGTGCACAGCCAGCACAAGATTTTCAACCACCTCAGCTTTCTTCGTAACGTGACAGAGCCACTTGCTTGTACCAAAAATGGACTGATTCATTTTCTGGTTCTTGGTGGAACTTTAACTCAGAATTTGTAACTGTACAGTTCTGGGTAAGCATCAAGGTCACTTACTGGACTTTGATGGTGTTGACTGTAACAATATCATCAAAATGGCAATGCAGGCTGTGGTGGCACATTCCTGTAACAGCAGCACTGTAAACGATGCCTTAACCTTGGCACTCTGGTGTAAGAACTGAAGTACAGCCACACCCACACCCACCCACACACCCACACAGAGTTAGGGACCGGCTCCAGGCCTGGCCTGTGCTAGGCGAGTGCTGCCCGCGCAGCAGGACGACCCATCCATCCTGGCTGTGCTTCCAGAAAGTCAAGCAGGGAGCTGGTCACACCACAGGGATCACCGCAAAGTGACCACAGACGTGCCTGCGGGCTGGCGTGGGGGAGCAGACACTAAAAGCAGCAGTGCACAGACAGGCGCCGCTCATCAGGAAAACCGTGGCATCTTTACGAAACCCGCAGAGCCTCAGCTGGGTTTCACAGGTTTGAGGAGCACAGGATGCCTGAACCAACGTGCTCCTGAGTGAAGTGAAGCTCGCTGTGCTGGTACACACCTGCAGTCTCGGCTCCAGAGATGCAGTGCTGCGCTGCGGTGCTGGCCTGGGGTGGCGAGGCCCGGGTTAGATCCGCACACCCCAAGAAAGGCAGCCCAACAAGTATCAGATGTTTGTGATATGTGCAATGAATCAGGAGCAAAATTGGGTGTTTGGGATCTTTTTTATTTTTATACACATGACAAGATTTTACACCAAGAATATTCAGTTAAATAGTACAAATTTACATTCATGAGGAATGTTAAAAAAAATTCAACTAAAAAACCCACTTCTTCCTGTGACCCACAATCCCGACATTGTACAGTGCAGGGGAGGAGGGGGGCATTCAGAACAAGTCTCCCCCACAGCAAGGGCTTCACTTCACATCCCCTCTCCACACGGGAGCAGACCTCGCGTGACATCTACAATTCGTCTTTTTCAGCTGTGGATTTCTGTGGGAAGGAAAAACCACAACTTGGTAAATGCAGCAGGATGAAAGCAACTTAAGCAGGCTGAGCCACGGCCAGTATCTCAGTTGTGGCTGAGAGTAACTGACAACCTGAAAACAAGGCCCATGAACTGATACAAATAATCAAATTGGGGAAAAAAGGGGCTGGGGATTTAGCTCAGCTGCATAAGCATCTGCCTTGCAAGCAGGCGGTCATGAGTTCAATCCCCAGTACCGATAAAAAGTTAAAAAATTAAAAAAAAAAAAAAAAAAAAAAACTGGGGAAAAAAACTGCAGAATGGCTAATGTCACGGTGTCAGAAGATGTCAGAAGCCAGCAGGGCGGCCTGGGAGTGCTGGAGGAGAGGAGAAATCCGTTGCCTGCCTGGGCTGCGCCTCCCGGGCATCTCCCTGATGAAGGGCATATGTGCCCAGTCTGCAGTAGCTGAATCTCGGGAGCAGCCAACACCCACCGACCCGGGAGCAGGTAAAGATGGGGTTTTACACCGCAGGGCACTGCTCAGCCTGAAAGCATGACCTCGACCTTGCTAGGTAAGTGGCTGCCTCTGGGGCCACACTCTCAGGTGAGGTCAGCTGGACCGGTGCGAGGGTCTCCCTGGGGTGAGAAACTGGGCGTGCAGGGGAGACGCTGTTCGCGGGGGCGGGGCACAGAAACAGCTCTGAGTGTGGCCTGGGGACTGTCCCCTAGCGAAGGTGACACTGGGTCTACACTGCAAAGGAACCCCAAACCGTGGTGGCTCCTGCGCACCCCGGCTACCTTGGCGGCCTCCTGTTCGTCGTCCTCAGCGCCTGCGTCCGCATCCTCCTCCTCTTCGTCCTGCTCTGCGTCCTGCTCCTGCTCCCCGTCCTCCGCAGCCTCCTCGGGCTCCTCCTCAGGCTCCTCCTCAACCTGGGGAGGACCCCGCCGCGGGGCGGTCAGGCCGGAGACCTGAGCCGGCGGCCTCTCGGCTAGGGGGTGACCAGGGGGCCTCCCATCGTCCCCCACGCCCGCTACCAAGTAGGTGACTTCAACCCGGGTGGGAGGCAGCTTCTCAGTGGGGGAGATGCTTGTCTCTCAGGGCTCCACCAATTAAAACAGAGCCCAGCGCAGCCAGCTCCCCAGAAGCAGCTGCATGCCCGGCTTTGCGGCCGCAGTGCCGGGGCCAGCACATATCGCTGGCCAGCCGGGGACACGGACCTTGGCGTCCAGGTCGATGTTGAGGCTGAGGCGGAGCATCCTCTCTATCCGGTCCCCGTAGGCTTTCGTGTCCGGGAGGAGGTACCCCGAGCGCAGGGTCGCCGTCTCGAACAGGACCACGGCCAGATCCAGCACCGTCTGGTCATCCTCGTCTTCCTAGGGTGGGAAGGTGGCTGATTAACCTTGGGGCGCCCGGGCGTCCGCAGGGACACAGGAGCTCGGGCACGGCCGCGGGGCACACCTTGACCCGCCGGAGCATGTCTCTGATCAGGGGGTGCCGGGGGTTAACCTCGAACGTCTTCTTCTGGCTGGCATAGTAGCTGTGGGGGGACAGGGGAGCATTAGGGTTCACTCTAACTCTTAGTAACGAGTAACTCTTTGGAGGGAAACAAAACAAAACAAAACAAAACATCACGGTGCCCTTGTCACGCTGCCGCTTTCCCAAGGCGGTGGGCACAGCTGGGTCACCAAGCCCTCGAGCCCCCGAGCCCGCGGCAGGCCTTACTTCGTGGAGATGTCCTTGCCCGTCTGGTAGGCCTGGGCCTTCATGATCCTCTCCATGTTGCCCGACCAGCCGTACTGGCTGGCCACGAGGGCGCACGGGGACTCCGTCAGGCGCTGCGACACCACGGCCTTCTCAATCTGCAGGCGGGAAGGCGGGTTAGACGCCCACCTGGGACTGCATCTCTGCCGCCCCCTGGGACTGTGCCATGCGGGCAGGACCAGGGAAGAGACACCGTCGCCGGCATCCTCAGTGTCACAGGGGAGAGAAACCCTAACCACCAGCTCCTCTACCCTCTGCGCTGGGGCCCAGGTCGCTGGCCTTCACGGGGACACACTGTGCGCTCACACCCGCCCCGGTGCAGCTGGCGGCTCCCACGGCCTCCATCCCTCCATCCCGGTACCTTGTCCTTGAGGGCCTTGTCCTTCATCCAGGTGAGCAGAGGCTCGAACTCCTTCTCGGTGGCCTCCCGACTCTCCTTGCTTTTCTCGCTTTCGTCAAACTTCACCCCTTCCTTGGCGACGTTCTGAAAGCGCTTCCCGTCGAACTCGGGCAGGGCCTGGATGCAGTACTCGTCCACGGGCTCCGTCAGGTAGATGACCTCGTAGCCCTTCTTCAGGAGCCGCTCCACAAACGGGGACGACTCGGCCTGCAGCACAGCCCAGGGGGCGCCGCCCCTCAGCACCGTGCGTGAGCCCCACTCCCCGGCCACCGCCCCGAGCTCCCTGCAGGCAGCGCCCGGCCACCTCCTTCCTGCTGGAGCCCGCCATGAAGTAGATCTTGTCCTGCTTTTCCTTCATCCTCTCCACATACTGGTCCAGACTAGTGATGTCGGTGGCGTGATGGGAAGACTGGAACCGAAGCAGCTTGGCGAGGCGAGTGCGGTTCGAGTGGTCCTCGATCACGCCCAGCTTGATGTTGGTGCCAAATTCTTTCCAGAAGGTGTCGTTGTACTTCTCATCTGCAATCTTCTTGATCATGTCCAGGGTTTTACGGACAAGCTTCTTCCTAATCACCTGAGTGGAATTGAAGAGAAACTTGTTAGAGGTGAAGCTCCGAGGTCCCCAGAGCCACGGGACACACAGAGCCAGGTGTCCCCAAAGCCGCTGATGGGGCGGGGCAGGTGGCCACGAGAGTGCTAACACTGGGAGCTCCTGGACGCTCCAGGACCTAAACAAGTGAGCAAGTACAGTGTTTCTAAATGCCAAACTTAATCGGCAGGCTGCTGCTGGAAAAGATTTACTGACGGCTCAAAGAAGCCTGGGATGAAAAGGGAGCTGTGTGTGGTCCGAGTGGGGCTCACACAGGACCGCACTGCACAGCTGAGGCCTCTTCGCACCTTTACTGTGTCTACGTGAAATGCCCCACACCAAGGAGGAGGACCCAGACCCACAGGCGTGGCATGGTCCCCGCCCCGGCCTCACCTTGAGCAGCTTGTGCTGCTGCAGCGTCTCTCGGGACACGTTCAGGGGCAGATCGTCCGAGTCCACCTGCAGCCGGCAAAGGGGAGGTCAGTGAGCACGAGGCAGAAGCAGTGGGAGAGGGACAGCCACAGCTGGCCCCCACCCGGCCCCTGCCTGGACACTCACCACGCCCTTGACGAAGTTCAGGTACTTGGGCATCATGTCGTGGAAGTCGTCCGTGATGAAGACCCGGCGCACATACAGCTGTGGACAGACAGAGAATACTCAGCCCCTGAGGTCTGTGGTGGCACGGGCACGGGCACGGGCAAGCGCCAGCACCCACCTTGATGTAGTCGCTCTTCTTGGAGCCATACTCATCGAAGAGCCCCCGAGGGGCGGCGGTGGGCACGAACAGGATGGACTTGAAGGTCACCTCCCCTTCGGCCGTGAAGTGGATGTAAGCCATGGGGTCATCGCTCTCCTGTGGAGAGAAGGCTCTCAGTCCCGCCAAGGACAGGAAAACGTCTCTTACTGGGAATAAGTGGCCCAGAGGGAGGGCGCGGCTAAGACTGCAGGTGCTGCCGGCCGGCCATCGGCCACTCCACCTGCTAAGCTCGGGAGGGACAACAGAAGGGTCGAGGTCCTTTATGTGTGAGGACAGGAGAGGACAGTCACGCCTAAGTGACAGAGCTGGGTGTGACATGAGCACACCACTGACTTCAAAGTGCTCTGGGGCAGGGTCACCCGAGCTGAGCGGCTACCCGTGTGAAACGCACTTCGAGGACAGTACGAGCAAAGAGAAAGAAGGCAAAACGTCACAATCCTTAGAATAGCATCTGCATGCTGAAATGCTGCCCCTGTGGGTATGCTGGCGTTAAAGCTGCCTCATCTGTCCCAGCTGTTACATGGCTTCAAAAAACTTAAAAAAAGTCACTCATGACTCAGGTGGAATTTCCACTAAAGCTGTCCGAGTTGCTATACGTTAGGCCTTTGGAAGAACAGGGAGCTAAACCCGAGGAGGCTGTGGGAGAGGGCTGGTGCTGAAGCCCTCGGGACGATGAGGACCCGCGGCCGGGGGAGGCTGGGCAGTGCTGCGCCTGCCTGGCAAGCTCGAGGTCCTGAGTTCAATTGCCGGTTCCAAAAGAGTGAAAAGCAAATATACTCATAGAGTACTTAAGTCTGATATAGTTATGCTAAGTTTTAAACACTCTGTTATTTGTACAAAATGCTGTTTGGGTAAAGATTAAAAAAGCAAACTTCACTGACTTCAGAATTGATCAGTAAAAAAAAACAAAAAACAAAAAATGGAAAAAAACCAGATTTATGGCCGGGGATTTAGCTCAGTGGCATATGCACCTGCCTGGCAAGTGCAAGGTCCTGAGTTCAATCCCTGGTACTGCAAAAAGAACAAAAACAAAAACAACAACAGATTTAGCAGTATTGCATGACCTCGCAACATGTTTTGTTATTGTAAGCAAGCTCTTTAAAACTGTTTCCTGTTGTAAGGGTTTTGTGATTCTGGAAACCAACCAGTCTCAAAAGCCATCTCCAGTGGGACAATAACCTCAGAGGCTCAGATGAAATTTACATGTGGTTTCGATCACAATGAACCAGTGGGGTATGTTCCAAGCTGTGACCGCTCTGTGAACACATGCAAAACAGACAGAGCCGGTCACCTGCACTGGGAAGGGGGGCCCTGTGTCACCCCGGGCAGCGCGCAGCACCTTCCACCAGCTCACAGGGCGACAGTCTGTACCGCAGGCGCTACGGGAAGTCAGGGAAGCCCCGCGCCATATTACCTTTGAGAACGACTTGTAGAAGGCTTTGTACTCGTCCTCTTCAACTTCCTTGGAGGGTCTCTGCCATATCGGCTTGATGTCATTCATGAGCTCCCAGTCCCACACGGTTTTCTCAACCTGAAGCAAGTGACAGTGCTCGTCAGCCTCCCTGAGCGCTCGGCAGGGACAATCCCCATGGTGACGGCGGCTGCCCTAGGCTTCAAAGGACGTGGGCAAACACCCAAGGACCCTGGCTCGGTTCCTGCCTCTGGACCAAACGTGTAAGAGTACAGTCCTTCAATACTTAGAGCCAAGGTTTTATAATGCAGCTAGTTAACTTTCACAGTAACTGAGAAAAGCGATTAACCGCATTTTTTTGGAGATGGGGTCTGCTCAGGTGCCAGACAGGCTGGAGCTCAGTCCTCCTCAGCACTGGGAGAAAACATATGAGGAATGGGGATTGAGCTCAGTGCAGAGAGCAAGGCCCGTCCTGGGGTCCGACCCACAAGCACTCACATGAACCAGGAAACCGAGGGCAGCAGGGTGTCACACATCCATCCGTATTCTGTACTTAGGCTCAGCACCGTGTACCTCCCAGCCATGTTCTACCTGCGCTGCTGCCCGCACACGCCAGAACCGTTTTTACAGACATAACCCCCAGCAGAAGGGGAGAGGTGCACACCCCGAGGGCCCAGGACACGCCTGCCCCGGGACCCGCAGGGGCACGCCGGCCCACCTTCTTGGTTTTGGGCTTCTTCTCTTCTTCCTCCTCCTCTACTGCTGCTTCGTCGTCGGACTCTTCTTTGTCTTCTTTTGCTGCTTCCTCCTCTTCTAGGGGCTCCTCAACCGTTTCCGTCTGAGCAGGAAGCACAGTTACAGGGGAGGTCACTTGTGTAGTAATTCTGCTGTCCACAGAACATGAAGGGTCACACCTCAGAAATACAGGTCTTTAGTAAAATAAGAAGCCCGAGAGAACCCTTAAACACACGTCCTTTTGGTGAGTGGTGGGCACTGATCCATGCCAAGGTAACCCGCACAGACTGAGCAGGCGCCGGCTTACCTTGCTGCTCCACACATAAATAGGGAAGTTTATGAACTGCGAATACTTTTTGACGAGATTTTTAATTGTATCCAATTCAAGGTAATCGGCTGCTTCCTCTTTCAAGACCAGGCTGCAAGGAAAGCAAGCCATTTAGCCATCCGGGCGTCAGAACGAGGATCTGACCGCACCCCTGCACACCCCACACTCCCGGCTCAGGCCGAGGACTCGGTAGCCTGGAGCCCGGAGCCGGGCCGGAGGGCAGCCCTGCTGCAGCAGCAGCCGCCAGCGTCCCGCTTTCTCAGTGCTGGGGGTTTTCATATCTCAAGGTAAGAAAACATCAAAACATGTAGTGAAGTGGAATTACATGTGCTCTCCCAGCTTTTGCTACTGCTCTAGAAATCAGACAACTGTAATAACGATTCCTAACAGAAACATGTTCCTTAAAAGCCAGCAAGTTAATCTGAATGGTTTGTCTGTGCTCCCCAACAACAGGAGCCACCGGTCACATGTGACTACGGAAATAGAAGGCAGAGTCAGTTTCCATAGCTGCACCGTCACATGGTCCCCATCCTGAAGTCCCACGTGGAAGGTGGCTGCCACACTTGGCGACATCCACGGAACATTCCTATCCCTGTACAAAGGTCAGCGGGCAGCGCTTAGATGGTCCCCGGGTCCCCCGAGCGCCTCAGGCTGTCTTGCCCGAGTCAGCAGCCCCTGCCGGCAAGTCCATGGCTATGACTTGGCCTGGCGAGGTGGCCGGGGCTTGGGGCTCTGGGCTCAGTGCATCCTGGGGACACGGGGTGGGCAGAGTTCAGCGTGGGTGCAACCTCACGCTGCAGGTTAGGCACCTCTGAGGTTTAACCAAGGGCAATCACAAAGCCAGAGTGAGCGCCAGACAAGGGCGTGGCAAACCAGCCAAGTGCCAACAGGACACTTTTATTGGGACGCATCAAATCAAACTGCAGAGTACAATCTATGACACAGCTTGCTAGCCGGGCCTTTTAAGAAAGTGTTGGCTCTTAACTTTCCATCAACACTTAGGAAACAGGGAAGGGCTGGGGATTTAGCTCAGCGGTGTAATTGCCTGCCTGGCAAGTGCAAGGTTGTGAGTTCAATCCCTGGTACCAAAAAAAAAAAAAAAAAAAATCAAGAGGAAAATATTAAAAAAAAAAAAAGAAAGAAAAAAAGAAAAAGCAATCGGGGAAAAAAAGCAGAAGGAAAAGATACGCACACCAGACTGGGTTTGAGAAGGCAACAGAAAGCAAACACCAAGAAAAGCCAAGGGGGCAAATCCAGTCAGGGCAAATGCAATCCGCACCCCCGCACCCCAGGTGTAACACAGTTCCCGGTGCCTCATCTCACCGCAGGCTGAGGCCAAGCACAGCACCTCTCCTGCCCAGGGGTTCGCAACTGCTCTGTGCAGCCGGCCCCCAGGTCCTGCCCTGGACTTGGATACCCTTTTCTGGACATTATTCTCTGAGCAACACAGTGTAACCACTACCCATAGAGCATGAGCTGCAGGTTATCTAGATGCGATTTAAATGAGATATGCATAGGTTCCTGCATACTCTATGGCACTTAGCGAAGGGACTCGGCGCTGTGGATGGTGGCACCCGCGGGGGCCTGAACTGGTGCCTGTGGGACAATAGATGTCTTCCCAGGAAGCTTCGCTGGTGAGGAGAGAATGTGTGCCCAGCAGGGGAGGACATAGGTAGCCTGTCACCTGTCCCTGTCCTGCAAACACTCGCACTGGGCATCTGCAGGCTGACTGGGGGTCCCGGGGGGACGAGCTGGTCCCCAAGTGCAAGCCGCAAGCTGATGGAGGGCCCAGTACTGCGGCCCTCTGCTGCCGCCTGTTCCCACAGCTCCCCAGGCCTCGCACCACAAGGGCAGGGAGGCGCCCCTGGCTTCCTCTCTGGCGTGTGTTAGTCCTCTTCCTGGGGGAAGGGTGGCCACGCGGCAGCAGCCATCTTACTGCCCCCACAGGGGTGCTGCCTTGGGACCCAGGGGGGGACAGCTAAGGACTGGCGGAAAGGGCAACACTGCCCAAGACCCTGCCCTGCCCGCCATGCCGGGCTCTGCAGCTAACTGTGTCTGGGTCTCAGCCCGGGGACACCTTGCCCGAGACGCCTTCCATCCCCTCTAGGAAGGGTTTCCCAAACGGAGGGCAGCCTGGGGCTCTTATCCAAGCCTCCCACTCAGGCCTGCAAATGCGAGCGCTGGCCACCGCACGGGAAAAGGAGCAAGGTGCCAAGTCCCAGGGAACGTAGTCACCTACTCAGCAACCCTGTGACCAGGAGGCTGGAAATGCTGCTTGTCGATGTAGAAAATCAATTAAAATGTGAATAAAGGGGGCTGGGGTAATTTAGCTCAGCGGCATAAGCACCTGCCTTGCAAGCAGGCGGTCGTGAGTTCAATCCCCACTACCGATAAAAAAGAAAAAGACAAAAAAAAAAAAAAATGTGAATAAAGAGGGGCATGGAGGCGCTCGCCTATAAGGCCAGCACTCGGGAGGTAAGGCAGGAGGACTGCTGCAAATTCAAAGCCAGCCTGGACTGCAAATGGAGTTCAGCGCCAGCCTGACCTGCAGAGAACCTGGGAGGCCGTGCATGCCAAGCCAGTGCTCTACTGGTGAGCCCAGCCCCTTCGGGAGGTTTCGTCTGGTTCTGTCTGAGAAGGGGGCTCTCACCGTGTTGCCTGGGCTGGGCCTGAACTCCAGCCACCCTGCCTCAGCTTCCCAAGCAGCCGGGACTGCCGGAGGACGCCACTGTGCCCAGCTCCCATGGGTACTTCTCGTCCCCGACAGGAAACCACAAGCCAGTGGCCTGTGAAAGATCTCCCTGGCCTCCAAGCTGCTCAAGTTAAGGCAGAAATCTCCTGGTCTATCTGCACCAAGAGCCGCAGGGCAGAAGACCTGACTCCCAGGCAAGTGCCACAGTTCACTGGCTTCAAAGGAACCCTGATTCCAACTCCATTAACTTGTAGGCATCGAACGAACCACTGCTTTACATTTCCCCAAATGCTCACTCTTTGTCTTTGTTTTCTGAAACAGGGTCTCTCTATGTAGCCCCACCTGGCCTCAATCTGCTGGTGATCCTCCTGCCTCAGCTGCCCGGGTCCGGCAATACAGGTGTCCGCCACCAAGCCCGGCTCACTTTCCCTGCTTTCTCCAGCCCCGGACCCACTGTGGGATCCTGTCAACACGCCACACTCTGGCCTTCAGCCAGCACTTGCCCCCGCCTGCTGGCTTGCCTGAGCCCCTTCTCCCCAGGGTGACCCCCCACTCTGTGCCTCTTTAGGGGGCAGCCAAGGTCCCAAAGCATCTCCTTGAATGGAGAGCATTTAGCTGCTCAGTCATAGGAAGGAAAGCAGGGCCCACGCTAGAGCTGGGGACACCCCACTGCCCATTTCGGGGGCCCCCCAGCCTCACTAGGGCCTAGTAGCACTCACGTGATTGTTGTTCCCCGGCCCAGGGTGTTTCCTCTTGGGTCAGCAATTACTGAAAATTCATTGGAGTCCGACTCCCAGATGTGCTGGGTGTCATTGTTGTGTTTTGATGTGACAATGACTTTATCTGCGACGAGGAAGGCAGAATAGAACCCCACGCCGAACTGGCCGATCAGCTCCGAGGTCGACTGGCCCTCTTCTTGGGCCTCGGTCATTTTGTTCAGAAACTCGCTTGTCCCGGATTTGGCTATGGTGCCGAGGTTTTTAACCAACTCTTCCCTGGTCATTCCTATCCCGGTGTCTGTGACGTGCAGCAGGTTTTTCTCTTTGTCACACTGAGGGGGAGATGAGAACATCGTCACACCTGCCTTTTAGTCCAGGCCTAGCAAACACCGAGATCCCTCAGGCTCACCACCGACATGAACTAGAGCCCGTTATCCCGGCCCATGGAGTATTTTATGGCCTTTTTGAAAATGCACATCTGAAAGTTCAACCCACCTTTCTTCACAAAGACTTTGTCAAAGTACAGTGTATTTGACAGAATATAAAAGCAGCAAACACTAAATGTCAAAAGAGGCCAAGACTGACTAAATAAAATCAGTTTGATCACTGTCCACAGGGAATCCTGGGGCCACAGACATCTCCAGCCCCAAGCAAGCTCTCTAGGAAGGGGAGACTAGACCTGTGCACTGTTTCTTTGACAGCAATAAAAGGACTGCCCAGGCCCGCGGCTCCTGGATCAGGAATCTGATAATCCTGGCTCTTCCCCAGCAGCCCAGCTCTGTCTCCAGCACGCCGCTAGGCCTGCAGCTCCCTCCTAATGGGTGGGCGAGGCCACGTGAGTAACCCAGGCCAGTGAGTCCCAGGCAGGAGTCAGGCGTGCTGCTCTCAGGCTGAGCCTTTAATTGGTGTGCGACCCTCTTAAGCTCGCGCCATGCCATGGCAACCAGCGACACTCCAGATGGCTGCTTCTCAGTCCTGGCGAGGGACAGAGAGTGATATAAGCCAGGGCTCACCTAACCTTCCTGTGAAGGGCCAGCCAGCAAGCGTTTTAGGCCTTGTAAGCCGTAAGGTCCCCAGCACAGTGGTTACTGCCACTGTGGACAAAAGCACTCACTGATAACACACCCAGATGCGGCTGGGCTCCAGCCAAACTCTGTAAACCGGGCCAAGCCAGCTTTGGCCCACAAGCCAGGTTGCTGCCTCCCAAGTTAACTGTGGAGGCATAACAGTCCCTGGACCCAGCCTGTGTGAAGTCTCTAAGGATTCTTCTTCTAAAAGAAACTTTGTCTTAAGCTTACCTTAATTTTGACTGTTAATTCCTCATTTCCAGACAGTGCACTCTCATCAGTTAGTGATATCAGCCTTATCTTATCTAAAGCATCGGAAGCATTTGAAATCAGCTCTCTCAGGAAGATCTAAATGGAAGCCAGATTTAATATCCTCAGATCAGCCTCAAGATAGTGTCAAGTCCACTCTGAAGTAACACTCCTTATGGTACAGGGATGGGAGGAGTTACACACAACCCCGTACAAAGAACACTGTAGCAAATGTGAGCACACCTCAACTGGTGACAGGAGTTAACACTTTTCTACAGCCAGTCATCTTTGGGTATACAACAGATGGAAACTTAGTTTGTGTGACTATGCTTAAGACCTTAAGATGTAATCACAGTATTTAGCATGGCCATGAAGCTTTTGGAAGGAAAGGAAAAGAAACCTACATCTTACTTTTTTGGTCTTTTTGAAACAGAGTTTCACTATGCAGTTCAGGCATAGTGGTAGCTGAGGCTGGTCTCAAACTCACAGCAATCCTCCTGCCTCGGCCTCCCAAGTGCTAGGATTACAGCTGTGCACCATCACACCTGGCCTGTCTTTCTCCCAGTATCTATCAGTAGTAACTGTTGTACATACTGGGCATTTAAAAGTTGCTAGCTTGTTACTTAAGTATCTATCACTGGAAAATATACTATGACAAAACATTGCCCTACCCATATGACTGCTTACCTCTTTATTTTTATACAGTGAATTGATGATAAGTTTCATCATCCTGTTAACTTCAGCTTGGAAGGCAAACTTTTCTGATTTCTCTCTAAGTTCTCTTATTTGTGATGCATTTAATCCATCCAACTGTATGGCTTCTTCCTCTCTAGGGAAATCAATTTAATAAGCAAATACTTAGTTCACTTCAAAGACACAGGCTCTGTGAGGAGGGCACAAGTGGCCCTTGAAGACTGACAGGTAAGAGAAATCCTTATAAAATTCAGAACTAGGCCAGTTGATAACAATACTATGACTACTACAACTGAGTTCTTAAAATTACCAGAAAAGTAAACTCAATCTGCCTTTATTAAAAAGCAGTCATAATTTATGTATGTTCAAGTAAAGACTTCAAAACTGTCACTAAGATCCAAACAGTTTTTTAGAGTGGAGGGTACCAGGAAGTGAAGTCTGGCCCTCACATTTGCAAGGCAGCCACTGCATCACTAAGCTAAACCCCCAGCCTCAAAAAGTCAAGCTTTTTTTACAACACTGTTCAAGTAAGTATTCAAAACATATACAAAACCAACTGAAAGTCTTCCGTTTGACTTTCATGGCACTAGTATTCTGCATTAAAGCAATCAAAACAATCTTAAAAATTTTCACAGCAGACTGAGTGGTTGTTGAATCCTGGGTCTTGGATGCGCTTCGCTGGGCGAGCGCTCTCCCCTCGGGCTTCATTCCCAACCTCATTCACTTTTTGTGATCAGTCATTCCTGGGAGAAGTCGGGACCCAGAGGAGATGCTGGCACAGAACGGCACACCAGTAACTAACGTTTCCTGTCGTAAATGCCGGTTGTCACAACCCGGACACGGGGGAAGAAACAGGAGGAGCTACTGTATCCCTGGGCCCCATCGCTACAGTTCCAAAGGAGAACGGACCTCTGCACTACTTCATCGTCGGTCCTCGAGCCTTCTCTGCTTTTCCCCAGGTCCTCTTCCACGGTCCCATCCACATCGACTTCATCGTCAGCTCGGGCCGACCCTGCAGAGTGAACCCCGGCACACTTCAATACTGTGCCCTCTACTTCGCAGAACCAATCTGATCAAACAGGGAAGCCACGGGCAGCGGTTGCAAAATTCAGTGGGCAAACATGAGAGCTGGGGGTGGCGGCGACGTCCCGGAGTCAGCACGTTTCTCGGAAGCTGAAACACCGGGGACGAGGCCGAAGCGCGTCCACGCGGGGCCCCTCCGGCCTCGGGCTAGTCTACACCCACACGTGTTGCGCACAGCCCGGACCTCCTTGCTGAGCAAGCCAAACTTGGGCCGCCGTTCTGGGCGGGGATGGGGTGTCAGAGTGCAGGCAGCGTTCGTGCAGCTTTGGGCGAGGGGAACTGAAATCGGGTCCCCAGGTCGGGGACGAGACATTTAGGCTCGAACAGGGGCCCCGGTGACCCAAACGCGCCACCACCGCCGCTCGGGTGTACCCGGGCCTGCGCTCCGAGGATGCACCTCTGAACCCCAGCACGCGCTCGGGGGGAGCCAGGGTCCCCGGCTCTCAGGGTCAAAGGTCGTGGCAGCCGACGCCGGTCCCGCGCGAGGCCCCAGCCGCGGCCGCGACCCGGGTTTAAATGAGCGCAGTGTTTCCCTGCCTTGCGAACGCGGGAGTGAGAGGAAGGCCAACCCGAGCCTCTTTCGAGGAAAGGAGACGTCCTCTGGTGCCCCGCAGGCTCCCGTGACCCTCCCCTGGGATCGACGCCCCCGGAACCTTCGAGAAGCGGCTGCGCCGGAGGAGGGGGCGGCCGCTCCCCGAGGATCACTCACCGAAGGTCAGCAGGACGCAGCACAGGCCCAGCACCCACAGGGCCCTCATGGCGCGCGGCCGGTAAGCCTCACGTCCCTTTAGATCGCAGGAGCCGCCTCCGCCCCCCCAATCCGGGTTCGGATCCTCACACCTCCAACCGCGCGGTCCGCCCCCTACACCCCAAGCAGGTCGGGCCGCTTTTCACCCCCACTTGTCGCGGGCGGGGGACGGGAAACACGAACCCACCAATCGTGCCGCACCACGCACCCTCTGTACCCAATGGGGACGCGAGGAGGGGACCGCAGTTCGCCAATCGGAGCTGTCCAGGTGCGGTAGCCTATGCCCGAAGCGTGGCTCCTTCCGATTGGTTTCGTTTAGCGGCTCTTGTCCAATCACATGGCTCCGCGGGCCCCTCACATGGGGGACCGCCTCTTTGCCTGGGACGTCTTGGCCCCTAAGGGAAGCCGTCCAATGAACGTAAGCTCGCAGCACGTCCATCCTTTGACAGAGGTCGCTGCGGAACCACTTCCGGATCCTAGAGAGCGTGTATTCCGTGACTAGGGGAAACAGTAGCCATGGCAACGCAGTTTCTACCTTTTCCCCCAACCTCGCCCTGCCTGGGCTATACTTAGGATCGCATTGAGAGCCATTCTAGAGCGGTTTGCAGTTTATGTTTTGTTTGGTGGTGCACCTTGAAAAAATGATGTAACGGTTTAAGACTCCCTCGAGGGCTTCCTTTGCGGCAGGGGGACTACAGTTCCCGGCATGCAACGCAAGGGCGAGTGCCGTATTGAACGCTGGGAGTCCCTGGCGCTGGCCTGCTGCCCTGCGCGTTTGTGGGACTCGGCCCTGCGTGTTTTAAGGTTACGTTTTGTTCCGATTGCAGTGGAGAGCTGTGCTTATTGCTACACAACTTTCACAGGTGGGCCTAGAAGGCCTCCGCGTCTCGGCCAGGGCCACCGGGTGCAGGCCGCCGGCCGATGAGAGCCCGGGCCCCGGCTCGCGAGGCGCATTTCCGAATCTGGCTTCTCGTGCGTCTCCTACGGCGCCCAGACCCTTTGCCTCTGCGTATTCCCGGCCGGAAGGAATCCCCAGACCCTACCGATTTGGTTCGCAGAAGAAAGTGCTGGGGTTCCCCATTCCCGAGGGAGGTCGCAAACAACTTTGATGTCTTTAACCCCCATGAAGCACCCAAAGGGCCGCGGCCCCGAATCAGGCGGAGAGCTTGGCGATCAAGTGCGGTCTGGCATGGAAGTGGAAAGACGCAAAGCTACACCTGGGTGCTACAAAGGAGATCCAGATCGCAGCCTTGAAACTTGTTAGAGATACCCTGCCGGCCAAGGCGCCTAGCACACCTGGTGTCTTTCCTGGGGGTGGGGGTGGGGGAGTCCTTCACACGAAGTTGTGCCTTTAAAAAAAGCTTCCTGCCTCTTGTCTCTTAGATGTAGTTTTCGTGAGCTGCCCACCCACGCACAGGTCTCTAACATACACACCTTCTTTGTTACTTCTTTCTCCAGCGAAATGGAATTTTGCTTTCTGATAATCATCAGTGTTCCTGAAGATAAGCTTTTCAATGACAGTCTGTTACAGTCTTGTACAACTTCCCCTATTTAGGTTTGCCTGATCTTGATGCTGTGGTTGGTGTTTACATATTGTGGTGGTGCCTTATTTAGATCTGCCCGATTTACCTACATTTGTTAGTAGTAAGCAAACTGACACAGCAGGTTTTATGCTTCTGTGCTTGGCATTTAAAAAAAAAAAACAGCCGTATATTAGGGTGTTAACTGCATGCAGCAATCTCAGTGACATCTTTGTTATAACTAGTTTATTTTTTAAGGGAAAGACGAGGTGCTTCACTTTTCTGCTTTTGATGGCTCCACTTCTCTGTCTCTGTAGTTAGAGCTGAGCGAGCTGTCCTGGAAGTGCGAGTGCCTGCTTAGCTGGGTGGTGCTGCACCTGGGGGAACTGAGAGTGAGATTTGTCCTCCAAAATAGACCTCCACCCTGGGGTGGGAGGGCTTCCTGCAGGTGAGGTGAGACTGACTGGCCCAGTACCCTCCCTAAGTGGGCAGTTTATTAGGTTCCTACTCTTCTGACTTTGGCTCTGTGGCTGTTTTTCCCAGTGGTTAGTGGATAGTGGTTCCCTCACCAGGGCATCTGATTCTCTTGTTTCCTCACCTTCTTGTTTGACATGTTCCCAGGGCTGCTGCGGGAATTGTACCTTGTTGTTGTTATACTGTTGCTCTATTTACTTATTTATTCTTGAGACAAAGCCTCACTGTGTAGTTCAGGATGGACTTGAGTTCACTGTGTAGCCCAGGCTGGCCTTGAACTCGAGGTGATCCTCCTGCCTCAGCCTCTGGAGCGGCAGGGTTTATAGGTGTGCACCAGCACTCGGGGTGTAATGCTGCCTCTTGAGTCTATCTAATGCAACCAGATAGCTCCTTCTCTTGCTGTTAAACTTGGAAGGGAAAATCACATAGGCAGAGAGATCAGTTAGGGACCACATGTCTCAGTTCGGATAGGGAGGTGTAGTGGGGTGTCAGGGACGAAACAGGCCCGGGAGACCAAGGCAGGAAAGCTGTTGGCCTCAGGGAAGACTGAGCAATGGATGAATGTGGAGAAGCATTGGTTGGCCAATTGGTTCCTTCCTCATTACTCAGCAAATGTCAAAGACCTGGTGGACTCCAGGAAATACAAAGACACAGTACATGGTAGACACGGTCTCTGTGCTTACAGAATGGGAGCAAATATGAATGGTAGAGTTGCACCGTGGTGTTTATTTAAACCAAGGTAAAGATGTGAAAGTACCTGCGAGGTACCAGGGAAGCTTTTGAGCTATTGGAAATGCTCTTGGTCTTGAGATTGATTGTGGTTACAAATCATCACACATAAAAGGGTGAGTTTGCTTATTATATAACTACACCTCAAATAGGGAAAAATAATAGTAACTGTCCCTCTAGACAACAAGACCCTAAACACATCTCAGTGAGGGTCAGGAACTAGCCAGGGAAGTCCGAGGTAGTCGGCCTTGGCTCACACTCTGGGAGAGTCTAACGGTGAGAAAAGCAATCGGTGTATGTTTTAGAAAAGTCAAAATCCTTAATTTTTAAAATTCTATCTTACTGGTGACATGTTTACATACCCCAGAAATCCAAGAGACTCTAGCTGAAGTATCCATAAGGAATAGGACAATCCAGCACCTCGTTGGGTTTAAGATCAGTCTGTCCATCTGGGCCTCGATCAGGTCAGCCTAGCAAGACCCTGTCTCAGAATAAAATAAATGCATACCCAGGGCTGGAGATGTACCTCAGTGCTCCAAAGGAAAAAAAATCCTTCAATCTTTAAAAATCAATAATCTTGCTCTCACCTTGCAAAACAACACATAGTAATGTAAACTTTTCCAACTTTCAGAGGCAAACCCCAGTAGATATTTAGGAATAAACTCACAGAACACATAGTACAACATGGGAAAAGTAACAGGTATTAAGCACAGTGCAGAAAGCAAGGGACCTGGGGCATGTTTGTGCTCTGTGTATTACCATGTAACAAGTCACCCCAACCCAGCGCCTTAGAACTCTCCCGTCCCCCACTGAGATCAGGAATCCAAGCGGTTCTGCTGGTCGTGCTGGCTTGGAGTTGCTCACTGCTTGTCGGTCAGATATTGGCTAGGGCTGAGGTCCCCTGGAGGCTGGGCTGGGGCGCCAGGTGGTGAGGTCACTCAGTCAGCTTGGTGGGAGACCTCAGTCTTGTGGCCGGGGGACCTCTCCACCCACCGGGCTGCTGGCTCCCTCGGGACTGTGATGGAAGACGCAGAGCACAGTGGGGGGCCCCAGTGACCCACAGCCCAGCTGGAACCACACAGCAGCAGAGCATCACGCCAGGGCGGGAACTGAGGCCCATCCGGGACCTGGCTGCCCACATACCCTGGTTAGAGGGAGACTAGGGGAAGCCTGATGTGGGGTTTTCAGCTCCTCTCCAAAGAGGGGGGCTCAGGATCCTGGAGTGAGGGTTTCTCCGAGTACAGGCAAAGGTTAGTTGTAGGGCAGTCAGAGAAAAGGATAAAAGTCAGCGGACAGGACGGCGCAAGGAGAGAATCCAAAATGAATTCTTTCAAATAAATGGCGTCAGAGTGACATTTCAATTTGGAGGGGGAGAGCTTGTGTGCTAAATGACACTTGCCTTAAGCTGGACTGGGTACCCAGCTTAAGCAAAATAAAGCCAAACTCCTATTTTTTAGCACGCAGAAATAAATTCCAACTTAGGAAAACAGACGACGGAGAGATTTTCTTAACCAAAATTGCACATCCAGGAAATCTCACAGGAAGCTGATATAGGGTGTCAGGTCCCCTCCCCCCTCCTTTTTGGGGAGACCTGGACTCCTGTCTTTCTGGGCAGGGGTGGGAAGGCAGTGGGAGAGCAGAGGACTCATGCTGTGACCCCCCCCTCCAGCTTTATCCCCACGTCCTGGCGGCCTTTGTAGCCATCTGATGCCTTTAAATAGTCTCTCCAGTGTCTTTTTCAGCCTCTGCCTTCCTGGCTGGACAATGGGTCGCCTTCACATCGTCCCTCACAGCGGAATGCGGAAGTAGGTGTCACTCCTCAGTGGGGTTAGCAGCCCCAATCCCAAGTCAGCGAAAATGACAAATAACCATGGTTCTTTTCTCATATTAAGTTTTCCGTCTTTCCTTAAGCAGTTTGTGTGATGTCCAGCATTTTCAGACCTCAGGACTTCTAAAATCTGGGACTAGAAACAATAAGTGTGTCTCTAATATTGGTTGTAATTATAACTTTATATCCTTGTTTTGACTGGTTTTAACTGGAATACTTATAAAATGTTACTTGATTCTGCTGATAAAATCTCAGGGCGTTTTTTTGTTTTGTTTTGTTCTGACTCTCTTAGGTCTTACCTATTGTGGTGCCCAGCACATGAATTTCAAAAACAAACCACCCAACAAACAAGAAACCGCCAAAGCTTGTCCTCTGTGGATCTTGGACCTTAGTGGAGAACAGAGAACCTGCTTCATCACAGAGCGGGAAGCAAGTGTCCCGGTGGAGGAAAAATGGACCTCGGCAGTAATTATCGACGTGGCAGATGTTGATTGAATACTTGTACATTCCCTAGAGATTCTGGCCAGGCGTGGTGTGCACTGCTGAAATCTCAGCTCTCGGCAGGCCGAGGCAGGGGGCTGCCTGGAGTTTGAGGCCAGCCTGGGCTGCAGAGCGAGCTCAAGGCCATCCACATAGGTAGAATTAAGCAGCGCTGACTTGATGAAGAAACGCGTTAGGGGTGTGGAGTTTGTGGTGTAGGACTTGCCTGGCACCCTGGGCTTCCATCCCAGCCTGCAAAAAGGAAAGAAAGGAGGAAACGGGTTTGTTGGGAAGGCGTCTCTCCGTACGCAGTCCATCTTAGCAGCGTTAAAAGAGAAATCAGAACAGAAAAGGGCTAATGAGCTGCTTACTTATACCCTCCCACTGAAACAGACCCGGGGCTGGACCCTGAGGCCGCTCTGCAGCGCCCAGACCCAGCTCTGCCTCCGCAGGTGGTGGGGAGGCAGGAGCTGCCGCAGGCGTTCCTCATCCTTGTGGCCAGGCAGGGACGGAAGGCAGAGTGACTCTGCCCAGCGCAAAAGTCTCGCTTGCAGTTTTGTTTCTGTCTTTCTGATTATGACCAGAGAAAGCCAGTCAGGTGCGAGATGGGCTTAGAGTTTTTGTTGTTGTTTTTGATTTTGAGATGGGGTGTCACTGTGCAGCCCACGCTGGCCTTCAGTTCACTGTGTAGCCCACGCTGGCCTCGAACTTGAGGTGATCCCCGATGCTGGCCTTGAACTCACAGACGGCCTCAAACTCATGGTGATCCTCCTGCCTCAGCCTCCTGAGTGCTGGGATTGCAGGTGTGTGCTGCCACACCTGGCTAAGGGTTTACACTTAATAAAAGTTTCTATTAAACTGTTTTGGGTAAAATTATACATAAAATAATAAAGTCCACACTTTGCTCTGTTGTATCTTCTGTCCACACGAACATAGCTGCTTCCTTCACATAGGTTTTCAGGCTTTTAATTTTTTCTTCTGTTAACCCCTTTTGCAAAAACTGGGAAGACTGTTTTATATGCAGGATTTGAAGATGACCATTTTAAAATTTTAGATTCTAACTATAACATAATATAGCTATAATTATACTGATTTTGATAAGAGAAACAGTTAACCCAGTCTAGGACAGCTGCTGTGTTTTTTTCCCTGTGCATATTCACTTTAGTATTATTTCTTTTCTGTTTTTTGGTACTGGGAGTCAAACTCACGCCCTTGAGCTTGTGGGCAGGTGCTTATGCCGCTGAGCTAAACCCCCAGCGAGTGTTACTTTTCTTGTTGGTGCAGTTTTGCAGCACGGAGCTGAACCAGGGGCTTTGTACTGAGCTCCGCCCCCACCCCAACCCTTCTGTCTTTTATTTTGAGATAGGATCTTGCTCAGTTGCCCACACTGGGCTCCTCCTGCCTCAGCCTCCCAGAGTGCTGGGTTTCAGGTGTGTACCGGGCTAATAATAAGCATCATTCCCTCTAGGCATCGCTGAAGCATTGTGCACTTAACAACTCCTTTAATCTTTCAAATACTCTGTGACACAAACGCGATTATCCCTGTCTTATACCAGAAGAGCCGGAAAGACTGAATTTAACAAATTAATGCGAGTCGCTCTCACGCTGGCTAATTAGTAGTGTCCCTTCCTAGGCTGTCTCTTCTTTGAGGCTCGAGTCCAGGGAATTACTCCTGGTCTGGGACCGTTAACCTCCGCACTGTGCTGATTCCCGCCCTTAGCCGTGTTCATCAGCATGGTCATGATTGTACCCCACTCTGGTTGTTTTCAGACGGGCTGTCACTGTGTAGTTCCCGCTGGCCACCACGCCCGGCTCATTTTCCTTTTCAGGCAACGCTGATAAGCGTGTCCTCTTGCCCCGTGGATCCCAGAGTTTTAAAGACTCAACTTGATTGTGGAGTAATTTACACCGAGCAGAGGCTTGCAGGGTGCGTGCTCCGTCCCCACCCCATAATTAAGACTCAGGACCTTTCGTCACCCGGGTTCCCTTGTGCCCTCCCCAAGCCTGCGCAGGTGACAAAGGAGCTACCTGCTGTCACCGGTCTAATTTAGGAGGCTAGATTAGCCCTGGGCTGCCATTTCTGTGTGACGTCATCATGCAGTCACTGTGTGCCTGGTTCCTGAGTCCTCTCTGTCTTCCTCAGGCTGTCCCCAAACACACGGCCTAGCCGTCCTCCTGCCTCAGCCTCCCGGGGGCTGGGACTGCAGGTGCACCCACTGTCTCAGCCCTGAGCTTTTCCTTTCGTTTTGCCTGTTTCTTCAGAGTGGATTTTTAAAATTTCTACTGGTGTTAGTCGGGGTCTCAGTCCATGAGGATCCACTCATCGTGGGTAGCGGGTGTGCACATACAGCACCCCTCCCCTCTCTGTCCATCCTCCTCTCCCTTCAAGGTGTTTTACCCATTTAATGTCTCATTTAATTGGTTTTTTTTTTTTTTTTTTTTGTCTTTTTCTTTTTTATTGGTACCGGTGATCAAACTCATGACCACATACCTGCAAGGCAGGTGCTTATGCCGCTGAGCTAAATTCCCAGCCCTGGAGTTAAGTATTCAGTCTGGCCATTATGCAGTTTAGGCTGAGGCTGAACTCACTTTGTAAGCCAGGCTGGCCTCGGACTTTCATTGATCCTCCTTCCTCAGCCATCAAGTGCTGGAATTCAGGCTTGTGGCACCACGCCTGGCAAGGAACATCTTTAATTTGTGGCCGCCTGCCTTCCAATATTGCACTGTGTTGCACACAGAGCAGGGAGCGTAAGGAAATAAATATTCTTTCAACTCCCAATCCTCTCTCCTGTTCTCGTATACTCACTTTAGATGTACAGTTACTGCGCAACACACACATTCTTTTTATTCAGCAGCTATTATTCAGTGGTCTCTCGTTTTTACCACTTTAGAGATCTTTATTTTTGGGCCAGGGATATAGCTCAGAGGTATAAACACCTGCCTGACAAGCACAAGGTCCTGAGTTTGATTCCTGTTATAAAAGCACAAGCTTGCTTGTAATCAGTTTAAAATCACTCCATGAAGTTTCTGATTTTAAAAAATCTGCTGCAATTCTTATGCTTGTGTTTTTGTGTAATGTGTGTATGTCTTATTTCCCTCTTTTTTTAAATGTGTATTTTATGGCTTGATTTTATCTGAGATACTCGTTTTGTTGGCTGATGTCTTTCCTCATTTTTGGAATATTCTTGGCCCTCGTTTTCCCAGTATTTCTTCACTGTTTCTTCTTTGCTGCTCCAACGGCATGTGCACTGGGGAGCCAGGAGTGTCCCCCTGGCTCTTGGGTCCTGGTGGCCTCCTCCCCTGTCTTTTCCTGTTTGGCTTCAGTTTGGATTTCTGCTGCCCTGTGTTCACGGTCACTGATGCTTCCTTGCTGGAGTCCTTTGAAAGCCCAGTAAAGAAACTCTCATGTCTGGTTTTTTCCTGGTAGATCTGTTTTATTCTTAAATACAGTTTTCAGGTTTTGGTTGATTTTTACACCGATGTACGATGTTCTGCGTCTTTCCCATGGGATTTCATAACCCTGCATATTAACACAGCTAATTCCAGCTTCCCTGCGAGGTCCAACTTCGGGTCTGCTGGTTGGTAACGCTACTGACGAAGGACTTGGGCGGCATTTTTATGTGTTTGACGATTTTTGAGTTAAAATCTAGGCTGATGGGAAGCTCTGGAGAAGCTGGCTCCTTCCTGTCCCCTCTGTTAGAGGGCGAATGTGCTTCAGCCTGCTTCCCCGTCCCGGGTGCCGGGTGCTGCCTCCGTGGGCAGCCACGTGGAGGGTTGGCGAGCTGTCCTCAGGCCCCTCACTCCCAGGTGCCCTCTCGCCCTGCCTGCTCCACTTCCCACGCCCCTGCTTGTCCCCCAGGGGCCTGCTGTCCGTGGTCACTCGGGGCCAGGCTCTGCGATGAGGAGGATTCTCTGTGGCCGGTGTGACTTACTTCCTTCGTTGCTGTGATAAAATGCCGACACCCAAAGTTAAAGGGGAAAAGGTTTATTTAGCTCACAGTTTGTAGAGTTTAGTCCTAATCCACAGGCTCCAAGGCAGGGTGGCAGGGCAGAGGGACAGTTTTCCCTGGTGGCAGAAGACAGCAAAAGCAACAAAAACCGAGATTCCGTCTGTGACTTACCTTGTGTGCGGGCCACCCACCCTGGGCAGGTGTAACACTCATCCTGCGCCTCCCCTTTTTTTTGCCTAGCTATGGTCTTGCTATGTAGTACAGGCTGGCCTTGAACTCACAGCAACCCTCCTGCCTCAGCCTCACAAATGCTGGGGTCACAGGTGTGCACCACCATGCCCTTAATCCTCGCCAGAACTATACCAAGCCAATCAGTGGAGTGATTTATTAATCACGCACCCTTAACCCCATCATCACACGCTTTAGATTCAGCCACCTCTGAAAAAGCCCCATGACTGCATGAGGCTTTGGGGGGACATTAGATAGAAACCGTAACAGTCTTAGATCGGCCTGGGTGCTCTGGATCTGGGGTGAGGCTTTTCAACATTCCTGCCCGATTCCTCTGGCACCCAAGTGCTTGTGTGTGTGTGGCTGGGAGGCTGCGGTCGCCCTGTGGTGGCCCCGGTGCTGGCCCTGGGAGAGGACTCCAGGTGATTTTCTTGCAGCTCTAAGGCCCACAATCTGCTGCTGTTCTTCAGTTCAAGGCCTTCGCTCTGGAAGAGAGAAGAGTTGGGCCCGGGCAGGGGTGCATGCCTTCCCCAATGCCCACAGTCACCCCTGCACCCCACACCGCCAGGGGAGCCCGCTGTCTTCTCACCCTGTTCTTAGGTGTTCCCCGGGGGAGAAGAGCTTGCAGGCAGACCCTTCCCGGGGCTGCAGGCCCCACTGCTTCAGACTCTCAGGAGCCCACTCTTGGTCTTTGGGGAGTCCTCAGGGCTGAGAATTTCCTGGATGTCCGCTTACCCGGCAGCCTCACGGACGCCTTCCCCTGCCTGGAGCTGCACCCTCCCTCCTTCCTTTGAACCTGGGTACGTTTGCCCTGGGGCCTCAGCTCCCTGGTCAGCTGAAGGGCATTGTGGTTTCCCGCTTTCCTCAGGTTGGGAGGGAGGGGTATTGGGTATTGGGGCAGTTCCTGGAGTTGACTTGTGGATCTACAGCCAGGATTCTTGATCTGGGCAGATTTTGTGTCCTTCCCACTGACATACTTGGCCCATAGTACACAGGATGCCACCCATAACAGAGAGCCTATCCAGCCTAAAATGCCAGCAGTGCCAAGGTTGGGATCCTCTGAGCAAAAGGGGAGAGAAGTAGCTCTTATAGTTGTCTGGTGCTGTGTGTGGTGGAGCACTGGGGAGGCTGAGGCAGGAGGATTGCCATGGGTTCGAGGCCAGCCTGGGCTACATAGTGAGACCTTATCTCAAAAATTAAAAAAAAAAAATTGGCTGGTGATTTTGTGAGCGTTATCACATTTGATCTTTAAGGTTTAACCTTACAAGGTTAGGTGTTGTAATTTTGACTTTGCAGAGGAACACAGGAAAGCTGCTGTGCTGTGTGGTTCAGTGACTTACCGGTGTCACACAATTACTAAGGGCCAATCTGGGAACTGAACCAAAGTCCCTCTGACTCTGCCGTTCCCTTCACTTTTACTCCAAAGTGCAAACCTGGAAACTTGTTACAAATGCAGGAGGGGGGCTCATTCTGGGACTGCAGGAGTCAGATTGACCCTATATCAAGGCCGGAAGTTTGCACAGGTCAACATTTGCCAAGTACTGACCGAAGTCATTTTGCCTCTACACATGAGATGGTTGCCCTTCTTTCCGCTCCCCTCCCCTCCCCTCTCCTCTCCTCCCCTCCCCTGTCCTCCCCTCCCCTGTCCTCCCCTGTCCTTCCCTCTCCTCTCCTTTCCTGTCCTCCCCTCTCCTCCCCTCTCCTCCCCTCCCCTCCCTTCTCCTTCC